TGTGGCTATATCTCACAATAATTTTTTTATGGTTACTTTTTTATTATGCGTCTTTTTCCTTGGATATTGGACTTTTTCCCACGTGAATTTCAAAAAATGAGGCAACGTCGCAGTAAGAATAATTCTGATATGTCTATCACTTTCTATCCCATTGCAACTGCGTATTTCCAAATCGTTTCACCTCCCTCTTCGCCTCTGGCTAAAAAGCTTTTCTCTACATGGCCAACCTATACATTGAGGCACCTTAGAACAAAGTCATTCATATTTTTCCCTAGATTCTAGGAAAGTTTTGAGAAAGTTGGCCACATAGTTTTTTCATAGATATTCATATGTGTTTTTCTTTAGATTTTGGATTTTTTACCACATAAATTTCAAAAATGTGGCAACATCGCACTATCACAGTGAGAATTTCGATATGTCTATCACTCTCTATCCCATTGCAACTGCGTATTTCCATATCGTTTTCACTTCCCTTCTGGCTCCTGGCGGAAGTTTTTCTCTCAATGGCCAATCTATACATTGAGGCACCTTAGACCAAAGTTATTTATATTTTTCCCTAGATTTTAGGAAAATTTCGAGAGAGGTTGCCACATCTTACAATAATAATTTTGTATGGGTATTATAATATGCGTTTCTGGTCCTAGATTTTGGATTTTTTACACATAAATTTTAAAAAATGTGGCAACATTGCACTGTCACAATAATCGTGATATGTCTATCATTGCAACTATGCATATTTCCATATTGTTTTCACCTCCCTTCTTGCTTCTGGCTGAAAAGCTTTTCTCTCAATGGCCAACTTTTAGATAGAGATACCTTAGACCAAAGTCATTCATATTTTTCCCTAGATTCTAGGGAAAGTTTCGAGAAAGATTGCCACATCTTTCAATAATTTTGCATGGCTATTATATGCGTCTCTTTTCCTAGATTTCCAATTTTTTCCCACATGAATTTCAAAAAATGAGGCAACGTCGCAGTAAGAATTGCGTAATGTCTATCACTTTTTATCTCATTGCAATGCATGCATTGCATGGTCAGCATGTTCCCACGAATGGCACACATAATTCCTCCATCCCTGGAAGAAACTCGAGGGTGGAATCACTCGTGTTTCGTCTATTGTCTCAGTAGCGGGAGGTTTTCTCAGGATTCTTGAAATTTTCATTTTGTTATTCTGGATTGCGAAATATATGCCGCAAATCAATATTGCAGTTCTTAGGATCCATGGAAGCCAATTCATGTATGTATTTTGGTGAATTTTGGTAAGTTCGTGTAGTTTGTCCAAAGGGATTTTCTCTAATTTGATCTTCTCGGTCTTTGACACTGGAATTTGGACTGATTTTATTTCGTTGAGGGTGACTGGATGACCGTGAAATATGTCTTTTTCATTTTTGTACACATATTTCGGCATTTTTATTGAACATTTTGGCGGTACTGTGAAGTTACTTCGCTTTCTACGCAGTCTGTTTGAATTCTTTGTTCTTCCGGAAAGATTCCAATGTAGTGGGCGGAATCGATTTCTTCCATCATGGCTTTTTGGATATGTACTGGTACTTGTTGATATTGGTTCAAATTGTTGCTTAGTGTCAGCAGTGACGTGATGCAATCAGGATTTTCGTGTATAGGTAGAAGTTGATTGTTTTTGCAGAAATAGTTTGGTTTGAGGTCAATGCATTCTTCATTTTGGTATTGGTACTTAGGGTGAGGTAAGTCGAAGGTGGTATTATGATGTATTGATTCTTATTATGTACGGAAAAGAGGTGGTAATTTTGAGTCAAGGCTGTTGTCGTTAGTTTCAGATGGTGTTAGCAAAGTATCATTTACTTCATTTGTGTTTATCTCGACTCTTGATAGCGCGTCAGCATTTTTAATGTTTTTCCCTTTTTTATAAATTATCTGATAGTCGAATTCCTCAAGTTTCAGACGCCATCGAACTAAGCGTGAACCTGAATTTGGTTCTTTTAAGTTCATCAGCCATTGGAGTGGGCGATGGTCAGTGACGATTTTAAATTTTCTCCTAAATAAATATGGTCTAAAATAGCGCGTTCCCCAGACAATACTCAAGAGCTCTTTTGCAATTACTGAATAGTTTTGCTCGGCAGAATTTAATGTTCTAGATGCGTAAGCTATTGGTTTATCTTGGCCGATCGGACCTTGTGATAGTACACAACCTATGGCAAAGTTGCTTGCAATGTTGTCCATGTATACGAAGCATATTCCGTTTTATAGGCTCTTAGGGACACGGTCCCTCTTTGGAACGTGGCGAGGGCGTTTTTGAGACCGAAGGGCATTCTTACATATTCGTAGTGCCTATTCTCGACATCAAGTGCGGTCTTTTTTATGTCGTCAGGATGCATCTCTATCTGATGAAATCCGCTCGCGATGTCTAGGGTAGAAAAGTATTGACAACGGCCTAATTTGTCGAGTATGTCCGTTATGTTAGGTGTCGGATAACGGTCGTCGATTGTTTTGGCGTTAACGTTCCGGTAATCCACTACGATACGCCATTTCCTCTTATCCGAGGCGTCCGGTTTTTTGGGTACGATCCAGCATGTCACCTATCTGTTTTTCTACTTCGGGTTTGTGTATAAACGGATATCGAAACGATTTGGTATAGACCAGAATTTTGTCAGTAGTTTTTATCCTATGTTTTACTTGGTTAGTGAAAGTCAAAGGTTGATTTTCGAGATGGAATATGTCCGAATATTTTTGGCATAATTTCTCTATGTGAAACTTCTCTTCCTCGTTCATGTGTTGGGTTCGAATGATATCGACAATATCGATTCTATTAGGTAATTCATTAGGTGTGTTTTCTATAGAAATATTATAGATTTCAACATCGGCTTTATTGAACGCTTGTACGGGAATTGTACAAAGATATTTCTTGGACGCTATCAGTATTGTTATGAATTTATACTGGGGCATCGCCGTCTCAAAACAGTGCGGTAGATTGGCTCAGGATTGTACATATAATATGGGACTCTTTGTTCCTGCAAGAGCTGTAATTTCTCTGCTTGTTCTTGATGCAGAATTTCAGCTAATGCCTCGTGTTTCAGTTTGTATTCACTCGCAGCGAACATTTTGCATCCTCCTGTGACCTGCTGTATGGTTTCCGACACCTGACAACCATACCTATAACTATCATCCAGCACTGCAGCATCTCTCACTATATATTTTAAACAATTTCTGGTTGGGATCACCTGATCTTGTATGGCTACTATAGAAAGCCCTCCGTCTCAGGAAACAACTATCCTGAGGCCCGCTAGTAGTTTGAAGCTATGTTGTCGACGTAATCCTGACTTACCTCATTCAAATGTCTTCCATGCAAAAGCTTTTATTTCCAACTCTACAGTTTCTCATCCACTGATACTTGATGAGTTGAGACTTGCTGTTTTTTAGGCTGTAGAGGAATAAAGTTAGTATCACATATAAACCGTGCCTGCTTTTTGTTAAAAATAGCTGCGCATGTTGGCGATTTGTTGGTCTAGCTGCTTTGAAATATCTGCCAGTCCTCTTCCGCCCCAATGCCGTGGGATTGTTGTACGTTCTGTGGCACTTCTTGGATGATGTTTTTGTGAGTAAAGTTCTGATTTTGCGCTGAAGGTTGCTGATAGCAGTGCCGGACCAACCAACTATCCCAAAAGAATAGCTGAGTACGGAACAAGCGTAGGTGTTAATTGCCCTGAACAGATTTTTGCTCTTAAGTTTAGATTTTAACAGTTATTCTTGTAAACTCAGTTCATCTTTCATCATTCGGTGATTTATACGCTGGCCTTACTTTATACCTAGATATTTGTAGGTGTCTCCGTGTCTCATTGCTTATAGTTCTGTACTTATCTAGACCAAACTGCATTGCTCCACTGCATATATAAAAGGTAGTTAAGCTTGAATTTTTCCCTGTTATTCTTTTGGATACTGAACCCGTATCCAGTAGAATTTGGAAGGTTAGACAGAGGGTTCAGTGCAAAAGGGAACCATAGCGGGCTCAGCGCATCTCCTTGAAAAATATCTCTTTTTATAGGTACTATACCTATAATTCGAGTGTTCTCATGCTTTTATCTGTTTTAGGTGCAGCGTTCGATGCAAGATTCAGAGGCGAGTTATGGGAATCAGCACTGCAAATTGCAACTGGTCTTCTTTGCGTTGGAAGTAGGTATAGAGGTTCTTTATTTGGTTTTAGTGTGAAAGTTCTAAATTTACTAGTCCTCTACCTCCTTTTTTTCTTTCCAGATACAACCTGCTCATGGATGCGTTGGGATGATGACCTCTATATTGAGTGAGGCTTACTCGGATTGTTTGATCGATTCTCTGTAAATCCGTGTTAGACCATTTGATCCAAAATCCAAAAATCTGAGTTGACTTACCTCAAAAGAAAACGTGGTACAACTAATAAGCACTCATACAAAATGGAAGCCAACAATTAGGTAAAAAAAATTAAAATATAATATTTATATTTCAAGAACAGATAAGATAAGATTTATCAGGTAAAAGCTTAATAATGATACGATAATATGAATTGATCGCAAAATATATTGAAAAATCTATAATAGACCCTGAGATACCCCAAAAGTGTGGGTTTTCACCGGGAGTGCCCAGCCGTTAAGGGCAACTACTTAGAACAAGTATTGGTGTATAGGAACAGTACTTCAGATACATTTGTGTTCAGTTTTCTGGATGACTTTGTTTAATCTCGGTTATTCTGGGAGTACCATTAAGATACTCAATTACAAGATCAACTCCCCCTTTGTTTTTTCTTTCATGAGGCTCTTCATAGACTTGCTTTGGATATTTACTCTGCGCTACAGTTTGGTCAAACTTTATGTAGTAATTTTCATTTGAGAATTTACTCTTGATAATATTAGTAATTAGAATATATTGCTTGAACGAGTATCAAATTCTTTATAAACTGAGCAAAAGTTACTCAATTATTATTGAGCTCCAGAGTTAGTCCAAAATATATACTTCCAAAAAAATATACCTCTTCAAATATTCGAGCTCTAAAATCCAATTAAACTTCAATACATATATTTATTCAAAATAAAAAGGCAACAAGCTTCACAAATATAAATACAATAATTAACGAAATAAAAAAAGCAACATTTATAAAAAATTTGAAAAATTCAAGCTTCAAAACTCATCAAAAATTCAATCCTGTTCATAATTCTTGGCCAACTGTCTGACATCTACTTGGTTCTCCCACAATTGAGGATTCCAGCCCGAAAAATGAGCTTTGAAATCTTCATCTTCCTTGTTTTGATGGACAGTGTTTATTGTGGTATCCTCTCTACCGTTTTTCTTGAGATAGGCCTTGTAAAAAATATAAAATTATAAATTTGTTTCAATATGTGAGTCAATATAACATACTTGCACCACTTCGCCACTGCGTTCTTTCTCTTCAGCATCAGCCCCGGCCCCTATCCACAAAAATACAGTATTCTTCACCGGCACATCCAAAAACATAATGTCGTCAGTATTCAAATCATCCTGATCAAAGTCGTAGACTTCAGTCACTTGGAATTTAGTACTTCCAGGACGTAATAGGGCGTGGAAAAGTCTAGGTTGGTCGGCGGAGCGAACAAGACGACCCCGAGCTTCGCCAGTGCCTTGCCAAGACCTGAAATACTGAGTAAAAGCCGCTGGCTCAGCCCCCTGAGCAATGCGTTCGACGTGAGTCCAAGACGGACGTCTGTGCTGAGCCAAATAGGCGTCAGCTTTTTTGATGGACTCGCGTTTTTCGGTCGGAGAAGCGCGACGTCCGACCCAAACGAAAACGTCTGCATTGTTGGTATCTAAAATGAAAACGTCTCCGTCTTCTAGTAGGCCTTGTTCCAAAGGACGAGAAGCTATCGGTTCGACTCGTAAAGAACCTGAAGAATCGGTGACTCGGAATAAAGCGGCTGCACGTTCTTCCGACGTTTCGAATTGGGCATCGTCTCCACCAGTGGCAGCTTCAGGGACGGCTTCACGTGATCCACCGCCCAAAGCAGAGAAAAATGTGTCAAAGTCCGATTGAGGACTGTACTCATCTAATAATTATATTATTATTAGGTGTTTTTTTTAAATGGATGTTTTCTCTTACCAACAATGGTGACTTTTGATTTGCCTCCGTGATCCTGATCTCTTATTTGATTGGCAGCAGCTGTTGCCTTCAATTTTTCAATTCTTTTTGAAGAAGCACCAACGTAAACGTAAATATTTTTGCCAACGTCCAAAATGAAGCAATCGCCTTTGTTCATTGAAGCAATACTTGGATCAACCTAAACATAAAACATATTTCCATTATAATAAATTATTTTATATTAGACAATTACCTCTTTGACTCTAATATTTCTGGATCCTTTCACTTGGAACAATCTAGTTTCGGCAGCTTCGCGATCAACATGTCGGAATCCTGAAGCTACTCCACCGGGTTGATAGCGGATACCTGATTTAAAGTACGACAAAAATAGTTGAGATTCGTGGTCTTGCTTTTCTCGGTGCTGAATCGGGGCTCCGCCCAAGTGGTCGTCGAGTTGCACTGCTAAAATTGCAGCTGAACCAGCTTCGTCCTGATGCAGAAAGAACAAATTGATTTTGATAATTTTAATTCGATCTCAAGTTGATTATAAGCTCGAATTATAGTCAATTTAATCATCTACAAATTTGTCATTTACGATTTTAATGCAGCTTCTATAGGTTTTTAAAGAATTCAAGGCAAAAGGTTTTTATCTAGAAATATAAAGACGCACCAACTGGGTTAATTTCAATCTAATTTCACCGTAATTAGGCTCAGATGTGGCGCCTTGAAATCAAAAAATCAAAGCGAGTGAGCAGAAGGAAAAGTTTTCCGGGAAATGGAAACAGTGCATTTCCGCAGCAGAACTAATGTAACGAAGTTCACAGTGTTTTATAGAATCATTTATTTTGCGTTACTCGCTTGTTTTTAGAATTTTATCTATATATGTTATTTCAGGGAATATCATATGTCTATGGGAATATTCATCATCTAAAAGTACTTGATAATGCAGAATATATCCAAATTTCCAAGACATTTTATTATTTTCATGAAATGAACTTGCACTTTATCTCCCACGCCTAATCAACGGGGTGAAGGATATTGTTCTTGAATTCTCACATGCTGTATTGGTCAAATAGCGTCAAGTTTGATTCGAAAGGGTCGATTTAAGTACTTTTCAGCTGGTGAAATGTCATCAGCAAGAGGTGTTACTCGATACTTGAATTTTCCTCGTCATACGTGTAGGTTCAACCATAGCTTTCAATCGATTTTCCAGAATCTGAACATTGCGTTCAGCGCTCAGCAAGAAGATTAGTAGCTGGATGGCCCGGTGCGATAAGTTTCTGAAAAATTCCATATTCCCTACAGTACGACTTGAAAATACTACTCACAAAAATTGTAGCATTATCAGATATCATAACTTTTGGAAATCCATGTATTGAAAAAATATCTTGTAGGAGTTCAATCGTTTTTGTGGATGTTGCTGCATCCCTGAGTATTTTTACTTCTGCTCATCGTGATTTTGCATCTTTGACCACTAGAAAATTGAAACCCTGAAAAGGATCAGCATCATAGTCAATATCAATACGATCCCAGTTTTGTTCAAGTAACTCCTAGTGATGCAATGGAGCTTTGGCTGGAGAGGATTCAATTAGGGAACATGCATCACATGATTTAACCAATGTTTCAATATTTTTATCGATTTTTTTTTAAGATTATCCACTTTTTGTCAATTTGCCTTTTAACAAGAATTAGTAATGTTATCTACTTTACCAAACTAGTAGCATAATGTAGGTAACAAGTTATTCAAGTACAAACGAGTGGATTGTTGTGGAACTTATGGGTGGACCTCTGCGGGACGAGCGCAGCGAGTTCCGCAGCCATCTATTCACCAATATGTTGTTTAAGTACGATACTAATCTGACTCACTCAAATGTTAATTATTCTCATTAGTTCAAAAACTACACGTTTCAGGTGAGTGTCTTATTTATATAGTTCAGCAGTATATTGGTAAATAGATGACTGCGGAACTCGCTGCGCTCGTCCCGCAGAGATCTACTCATAAGCTCCGCAATAATCCACTTATTTGTACTTGAACAATAACTTATTATATAAAGTCAAAATTTGTAAGACTATCCACTTTTTGTCAATTTGCTTTTCACCAGGAATTAGTAATGTCACTTTACCAAACTAGTAACATAATGTGACAAGTTATTCAAGTACAAACAAGTGGATAGTCGCGGAACTTATGGGTGGACCTCTGCGGGACGAGCGCAGCGAGTTCCGCAGCCATCTATTCATCAATATGTTGTTTAAGTACGATACTAACCTGACTCACTCAAATGTGAGTTATTCTCAGTTTAAAAACTACACGTTTCAGGTGAGTGTCTTATTTGAACAGTTCAACAGTATATTGGTGAGTAGATGGCTGCGGAATTTGCTGCGCTCGTCCCGCAGAGATCTACTCATAAGCTCCGCAATAATCCACTTATTTGTACTTGAACAATAACTTATTATATAAAGTCAAAATTTATAAGATTATTCACTTTTTGTCAATTTGCTTTTCACCAGGAATTAGTAATGTCACTTTACCAAACTAGTAACATAATGTGACAAGTTATTCAAGTACAAACAAGTGGATAGTCGCGGAACTTATGGGTGGACCTCTGCGGGACGAGCGCAGCGAGTTCCGCAGCCATCTATTCATCAATATGTTGTTTAAGTACGATACTAACCTGACTCACTCAAATGTGAGTTATTCTCAGTTTAAAAACTACACGTTTCAGGTGAGTGTCTTATTTGAACAGTTCAACAGTATATTGGTGAGTAGATGGCTGCGGAACTCGCTGCGCTCGTCCCGCAGAGGTCCACCCATAAGTTCCGCAATAATCCACTTATTTGTACTTGAACAATAACTTATTATATAAAGTCAAAATTTGTAAGACTATCCACTTTTTGTCAATTTGCCTTTTAACAGGAATTAGTAATGTTATTTACTTTACCAAACTAGTAGCATAATGTATCAAGTTATTCAAGTACAAACGTGCGGATTGTTATAGAACTTATGGGTGGACCTCTGCGGGACGAGCGCAGCGAGTTCCGCAGCCATCTATTTACCAATATACTGTTGAACTATTCAAATAAGACACTCACCTGAAACGTGTAGTTTTTGAACCAATGAGAATAATTAACATTTGAGTGAGTCAGATTAGTATCGTACTTAAACAACATATTGGTGAATAGATGGCTGCGGAACTCGCTGCGCTCGTCCCGCAGAGGTCCACCCATAAGTTCCGCAACAATCCACTTATTTGTACTTGAACAATAACTTATTATATATATTCAGAATCTGTATACCTAAGATTATCCACTTTTTGTCAATTTGCCTTTTAACAGAAATTAGTAATGTTACTTCAGCGAACTAGTAACATAATGTGACAAGTTATTCAAGTACAAACGAGTGAATTGTTGCGGAACTTATGGGTGGACCTCTGCGGGACGAGCGTAGCGAGTTCCGCAGCCATCTATTCACCAATATGTTGTTCAAGTACAATACTAACTTGATTCTCTCAGTTGTGAGTTTTTCTCATTAGTTCAAAATCTACATTTAGATGAATGTCTTACTTGAACAGTTCAACAGTATTAGTGAGTAGATGGCTGCGGAACTCGCTGCGCTCGTCCCGCAGAAGTCCACCCATAAGTTTCGCAATAATCCACTTATTTGTACAGGGTGTTTTTTTATATATTAACACCCCACCTTCAGCCTTTATCTTTACAGCTAGAAGAAAGATGTAAATAAAAAAGTTGTACAGTTTTGGTTGAATTTTTAGAAACCATGGTCATAGACACATACTCGGAAATAAATTAATTTTCACGTTGGTAAGTTGATAAAAATCTATGCTGAAAAATCATAACATTTTTCTTGGGGTATAGATTATTTTCCAGATACTCGATTAACTCATCATAGGTGAATTCATCTGTTTTTTTTTGGAGCTACTAGAACTGTAAGGTAAGGGTATTGATATTAAGTGGTAGATCCTAAAGAATTAAGCAACATCTGAGCTCCCTAATTTTTATCATCGAAAGCATTCTTGAGCTTCAGATAACTTTCGAACCGTTGCCTGTAACTCTTGAAATCTTCATTCTAGGGATAAAAATTCTCGAATGGGGACAGAAAATAAGCGGAATTGATATCTGATGAATTTGTCGTTTATCCTCGAATTTGTTGAAGTAAAACTACCAGTCAAAACGGACATAAATTGCGGTGGTCTTCATTTATCTTCATCATTTCTTATTTGATATGAAATAAAACCAGACTATGGACCACTATATATTATCTCTATCAAAGCGTTGATTATCAAAGTCAGAAAGCAAAATTCAAAATTACTGGCGAATGGGTACCTTACAACATACCTTTTGAAACAAATGTAATAGGGATATAATACAGTGGAAGGAAGATTTTAGGAAAAACCTTATTCTTCTTATCAGTGCCTGTTTTAGCACTGTGAATCTTCTAAAAACAGGTAGAGTTTCAAATGGCAAACGTATCAAATGACTAATTGGCCAGTGTGAAAAAAAATTTAGTAAAAGCTTTATCTTGCATTTCCTAAGGAAATACTTACTTTGCAGTGAATAAAAATGAGAATTAACTTTAACTTAAATTTCAATTAGTAAAAGCTACAGTTTTTAGCATTGTCTTTAAATGGTGTGAATAAAAGTAAGCAATTCCTAATTATATGAAGGAAGAGTTTACATTTTTGTAATCCTGGTAAACCTTGGCTTGAAAATTTAAATGGGGTTTAAAAGTTTGGCAGAAATGGCTGCGTTTATGAATTAGCTAACCATTTTTTGGAGCTAAAAGCAGAGACTAGAGGTGATGCGTTAAGTCCGAGAAAACAAATACAAATATTTTTGCGATTTTTAAGTGATGATCCCAGATTTCAAATAGCGATTGGAAAAGAATAGAACACCGTGTATATTTTTGGCTAGAATGACTGATTTTTTTTTCTTCTGATTCCAAATATACCTACCTACCATATCTGTTGATATTTGGTTCATCTGTTTTTGCGCTATTTGAGTTTAAAATTGCATTAAGTAAGCCTCACCCATTGATATCGGGACTTCCAAAAAAAAAAAACAATCAAAGATTGCTATATGGGTTTTTGAACGTACGTCGCATTATTGTTCTTTTATTGGTCAGGTTTGATTTTTTGGTTTTTTGAAGACCCGATATAAGGAACTGGGAACAGACCTAATTTAGGGTAATGTGAAACCAAATATCAACATATGTATTTTATGGTATATTTGGAATCAGAAGAAAAAATCAATCATTCTCGCCAAAAATATACAGTGTGTTCCATTTAAAAAAAATGTAAGTGTTTGTCATTATGACAGTTGGCACATGTCATTTGCCCGTTTTGACATGCGTAAATATTAGAGATAGAACCCTACAACTTTTCATTTACTATTTAATTTTTTTCGAATTCTGAAGCACTAAAATGGTGGCAGCGTAAAAACTAAAATAGCTAGCAAAAAAAGTCACAGGGCAAAGTTGATCAGAATGTAATTATCTACAACTGTTATCGAGGTCATTTTGTTGAAACAAAAAAAAATTAAAAAATAAGGAAAAAGCCAATAGGGCCGAACGCATAAGGCTTTTGAGTGGGATTTTTCGGCACAATACTCAGAACACAGTATCCAATCAGCTCTAAAAAAATTAGCCTGCCCTCGTTATTTTTTTTTGAAAAACCCCTATATTCACTGGACTATTATAAAATAGTATATTACATCAGGAGTGTTGAAAGTGACAAATTTCACACGAGTGTATGAAAGACGCTTTCTCACAAGTGATGTACAACATTTTTCCTACGACCAAAAACCTATTTACATCAATTTTCTCTTATTTTATTTCTTTTCATTTTCAACACACGTGCTGAAAGTACTTTCAATCCATGTACCTATTGAAAGTAAATTGTGATGTCAATCACAAATGTCAACAGTATTTTCCACACGTGTACTGAAAGTACTTTCAGCCGGCGTATTGAAAGTACTTTCAGCAGGTGTATGATATTTAGCGCTTTCTAAAGAACCAGCTAGTGCGAATTTTGTCATTTTCGTATGTGGTCGTAGGAAAATATAAATATCGGCGTTATCAGTATAAAAACTCGCAAACACACTTTTTGAGAATGCTGTAGATACTTAGCTCTTAGCAAAAGCTAAATCTACCTACACTTAATAAATTAAAAGCTAAAGCTATCACTTAATACTAAAAGTGAAAGCTTAGTTTTTATTCACACTGCCCATTTGAAACATTTGACTAATTTTTTGAGGTGTGTAAAATTCATCTTAGTCAATTTGCAGTTCGCAAATGAGTTCGTGACCAAGACAATTATTATCTGGCCCACGAATCGATAAAAACTAGGATTGGAATAATTAGTTTCTGAAAATAAGTTTTATTGCCATCAAGGTGTGGGCGTATTGATTACAAATACAAAACAAATTAAACCAATTTTAGCAGCACAATGGCAGGATGTTTACGATTGATTTTGTATAATTTGTTTCGCGTATTTATACTTTACCTGACTAGTTTCTGCTCCAAGCCAAAAATGTAGGTCCCAAGACTTGTCTCCTCTTTTATTGACTTTTGTCTGGAAATAACATAGTTAACTTGCCAATTGATTTCTATCAGTTCCGAAATTAAATATACTTACGTTGAGTACGACATAAGAATCTCCAGAATAGAATTTTCCGTATTGGTTTTTAGGGTAAGGCACAGGTTTGAAGTCCTGAAAAGCAACAAGATGGTATTATTAACCTTTTGAAGCGAACAATAGAGTCTCAGGAGGCTACAGTTTTAACGCCTTTTTATCCTGTGACCTTTTTTGTAAAATGACCGATTGCTCATGGTCATTTTCTCTCTGCAAGGCTAATTAAGGTGATATTTCAGTTTAAAATATTACATGGCATTGATCCAACTCAATAAACTTAAGCTGTAAAAATCGATAGGGGCCAGATAAGGTTTATCGGAAACAAATACATATTTCATTACCTGCATTATGGTAATTAAACCTGAAAAAATCCCACTTATAATCTAAAATTGGCTCAAGTTTACATTGCACCCCATTAATAGAACATTTTATGAGCTTTTTGATGTTCTAATCTGTGATTTATGGTGTCCATTAAAAAGATCATACAAGCATTTATGTTCGACAATTTTCCTCTTTTATTACTTTGTTTTTTGGATAACTGGGACAAATATTATTTTCCGGAAAATGTTTTTGAATACCTATGCAAATTGTGTCTGTAAGACCCAATACAATTAGGTATACTTATTAAAAAAAATTTAAAACCCAAGAAATTTATACCTGGGCCGCAAAAAAATTTGCGAGGGCAGGCTGGTTGGAGAGTGTGTTCTGAGTATTGAGCCAAAAAATCACACTCGAAAGCCTTGGTGCGTTCGGCACTATTGGCCTTTTTCTTATTTATTTTTTTTCGACAAAATGACCTCGACAAAACTTGTAGATAATTATATTCTGATCAACTTTGCCTCATGACTTTTTTTGCTAGCTATTTTACTTTAGGCGCTGTGGCCATTTTAGTGCTTCAGATGTCGCAAAAAAATTAAATAGCAAACCTGCAGATTATTATACCTAATAAAATTCTCTATTACTTTGCTTGATAATATTTTATTGCAACTTTATTGCTTTCGCTTGTACGGCCTTTTAGGTATTTGAAAATTTTTATTTGACCTGGTGGACATTGTGGCATGCATAGCGTTTCTAAGGATTTTACACATTTTGCAGGTAAAATGTGGCGTTTTGCGAAATTGAATTTCGCGGACGGTTGCACAATAGCTATTTGTGTATTAAGAGGGCAAAGTGGTACTTTGCTGATCGAAAAATATTGTTGATATTCGCAAAGGCAAATGCACACTTGATTTTTTTTACAATCGCATTTGATAAAAAAAAGTTCAGGTTCAAAGAAACCAGTAGTAAGTAAAAGTTACTACTTTGCCGCTCTAGAGTAACAAAGTGAAGGATTTTGACATAGTTTGACGCTCTAAATCGGCAAAGTGGAGGTCATCAGGAAACGTCTACTTTGCGAGCACAAATCTAATCGACAAAGTCTACTTTTGTAGAAAAAAAAACATTTTGTCACTTTTCAAACTAGGTAAGATCATTTCGATTTCACGCTTTCAGTCCGGGAAAATAATTTTACCGGATTAGTGATGTAATGTATCATTTTTTGGACTGAAACCGAAAACGTAATGGAGTAGGTATATTACCAGTAATTTAATTAAAGTTACAATTATCTGCAGGTTTGCTATTTGATTTTTTTGCGAATTCTGGAGCACTAAACTGGCTGCAACGCCTAAACTAAAATAGCTAGCAAAAAAAGGCACGAGGCAAAGTTGATCAGAATGTGTTTATCTACAAGTTTTGTTGAGGTCATTTTGTCAAAAAAAAAAAAAAATAAGAAAAAGGCCAATAGGGCCGAACACACAAGGCTTTCGAGTGTGATTTTTTGGCTCAATACTCAGGACACAGTCTCCAATCAGCCCTGAAAAAATCACCCTCTCCTCGTAAAATTTTTTGACAAACCCATAAATTTCTTGGGCTAAAAGTAAATAAAGTAGGTAGGTATATTCAGATGATGAGTCAAAAAAGTTAAATACTTTTTCCAGATAAACATCATCACATCCAAATATTGTGTTGTGTTAATTTATTTTCCTAGCAATCACCCGACAGATTTATTGAATCGGTTTTCGGAACGTCTCTAAAAATAACATGTCGGTTATCCACACTTTTAAATAGTACATAAAACCACAGACCATAGTATTTTTTTGAAGTGGAAATGAAAATAAACTAATTTTATACTTCTGGGTGGTATATGGACGAATAATTAACTTGGAAAGGGAATCTTGAACATTAAAAATTTAAGCTTTTTGGATGTACCTACTAGGACCCAATTTTTTGCATTTAAAAAGAAGACAATATCATCATCAAACAAATAATAGAAACAGAATTATTTTGAGATGTATGGTATTTTTGAGCAGAAAATAGGAATAGAGCAAGTTTCTATCCAAAATTTAAAAAATGACAAATTTGCTTTAAAAACAACACACTTATTTTTCCTCAATTTTTATCTATTTCAAGTTGTTGTAATTTTCTCTAAGATAAAAGACAATATTGTTAAATTTTCTTGTGGGCTGAGAACTGAAATTTAGATTAGAAGAATAAAAATCCTATTCCATATATAGGCTCTCTTAGAGCAGTGATTTTTAATTTACGACCATACAGGGTCAAAATTGAGCGAATGGCATTTTAAAATGGCCTCAATATCGGCTATCGTATAGCAGAATTTGAAGAACATGAAAATTTTATTCCTGACTTTTGTAGTGTTGAAATTGAACATGAAAAGTATCAGTCTTGGATTTCCAACTATTTGAGAGTTGTAGTGAAACTGCATTCACAAAATAAGATTCTATGTGAAATTTTCACATAGAATCTTATTTTGCACCCTTTCTATAAACTGAATATGAGATAAGCTTGAAATTCTCATTTTTGGCTTTCGTAGAGAAAACTTGACAAGTCTTTGAAGCTATGAAATCCACAAAAATATATATTTTTTTTAACACAACACAATTAAGTTAGGCACTAAAATACACCTAGACGCAAATTCATCAAGAACATACACATGTTATGTGTTTATAGAGCTTTAAATATGTGAAGTAATATTGCAAAATTTTTTTTTTTAGAACCTAATAAGATATTAACGATTCACCTAATTGGTTGTTTCGATCTGGTTTAGTGGTCGCAAAGGAAGGCCAAAACCTTAGTCAAGGGCAAACCACAATGCCATGTAAGAATATAATAATTCTATAGATAGATATAAAAAATTTCATTATTTTATAATAATAATAATAGTAAAAATTTGAAATTTACTATCAACAAATATAGAGGTACCAAAACATTTTCCTGTTGACAAATATTTGATGATCATTATCAACCTTTTTTAATCTTAGGTATAGTAAAACAAACAAGTAATAAAATTATTACAAAACTAAAAGTTCTCACCTCAACTCTCCAAATTTCCAAACCGGCTTGCTGACCGGCCCTAGCGAATGCTGGATCCATGATTTGGGTGTTGTGCTGACTCTGTTGTCTTTGTGCTGATTGCGAATGAGCGACTGCTGCCCGAGCCGAACTAGAAAACGTCGCTAGCAGGAGTAGGCAGGCAAAGCTCCCGCCGCAGGTGATAATAGTTGTCTTTGTCATTTTAATTAATGCTAAAAAATGTAATTGAATTAGTAAAAATCTTGAATTCTAGTAGACAATTTTTAGTCTGTTGTTACAGATTCAGCATTAAAGTTGTTCTTTTACATTGAGATGATTTTTGTATAGAGATTGACTTTGAACTAGATTTAGCTAGGTAGGTAGGTATAAAACACAATTTCCTCCTGCAATGACAGTAAAAGAAAAACCAGCAATAGAAAAAGCTTGAAATCATCAAGAAAATCTTCAATAACTTATATTTTCGAAAAACAAAACAAGAAGAGCTTTTGCCAATAAAAAAAAGATATTTTCAGCCAACAGAACGATTAGAAAATATCTTAACAATTAATCAATTTAAAAATACTTCAGGTGTCAGCAGGATCAAAAACTCATATTATAATGATAAATTACCTTATTTAACAAATTTGAAACAGGTACCACAACAAGAAACAAAATGGTACTGCGTCAGTACCGAAATTCAACTAAACGGTCGCTTTACAATAATAATGACCTCATATAAGCAAACATAAATAATTTATATGTAAGTAGAACTGACCCAGAAGGTCAGTGGTAAACAAGATTATGTAAAATTCTGAGAAAATTGATATAGTTTAAACAAAGAAATTTACTTATGTGGCAGTATTTATTTGTTCATCAAGATCAAATTGCGTCCACAAATTTGAACTTTTCAAACTCTTCTCTATCCATTTGCAAAATTTCAATCCAATTCCTCAACCACCGTGTTTTGATTTTTTCAAAATTACATGGACATACCATACCTACTAACTTTGTTAATTCTAATATCCATCTCAACGTAATAAAGGCTTAAATTAAAAGGCTATTAAATTCTGTACAAACCCATAATTATTAGTTTGGATAATTACTAGACAGGTATAGCCCCAAATCTTTCATTTTTTGGTAAAGCAAACACGTAGGTGATAATAATAATTATACCAGTGAATGTAAACATTCACATCCTGTGCGTTTCTGATGATCCTGTTTTGAAAAATGCACTATTCCCAATTTTGTACCAGGAACACAGAAATGTGGAAAGATTATTTGTAGAGAATGGGTCATAAACATTGACTCATACTTGGTCAATGCAGCTTCAATAGTTTCGCAGCTGCGTCGTCGCTTCAAATATAGACTTTAATTTCTATCAAGCTGCGTATGAGCAGAAGCGATTTTTTTTTTCTTCTTGAATCTCGATCTTTTCTCTCTCCATTTGCAAAATTTCAATCAAATCCCTCCGACATTTTTCCCAAAAAAAGATAAAACGTCCCCCAATGTCGACTTGATTTTTACAAAATGACATTGGCACACATTTTGCATCTTAACTTTGTTAATTTCAATTCGATTTCAACATAAATAGGCTTAAATTAAAGACAATTAAATTTTCTACAGAATTATAATTATAGGTATACCTATATTAGTTTGGATAATTATTGAACATAGCTCCGAATCTTCCATTTTATTTTTTGTTTAACCAAACACATAATATTAATAATTATACAGTGAATGTAAACATTCACCTCCTCCAAGTTTCTGATGCTCCTGTTTTGAAAACTTCAAAATTTCCGATTTCGTACCAGGAACTATAGGAAGACAGCAACGTGGAAAGATGATTTGTAGGGAATAGGTAGATCAAGAAACTTTGACCTATATTTTGTCTCATAAGTTTGGTAATTGCAATCCGATATTGATTAGGCAGAACTTGAAGCCAATTAAATTCTCTATAAATAGGTAGGTACCTAATGGATAATTTCAATGCAGCTTCACTAATTTCGTAGCTATCAAGCTTCAATTTTCAGCGAATGCAAGCAGGAAGAAATTTTTATTTTTTTTCTTAAATCTCAATAATCTTTTCCCTCTCTTTTTCGCAAATTTCAATCAAATCCCTTCATAATATCAGCATTTATCCCAAGAAGGAATTAAATGTCCCTAAAAAAGGGAAAAATGTGACAAGATTTCGGATTTAAAACGGTTTTGAGGAATTTCGGGTGATTTTGAAGAATTTCGGTAGGATTTCGGAAAGATTTCGGATTTCGTGACAAGATTTCGGGTAATTTCGAAGGATTTCGGGTGATTTCGGAGAATCTCAAGTAATTTCACGAATATTTTAATTTCATTTTAGACTGTTACCGTTCTGTTACCTACTTAACTTATCAAGTATATTCGAAAGTGTATCAGTATAAACTGAAAAACGGCCGCGTTAATCGATTTATGAATTTTGGGCAATCAATTTCGAGGGATTTTTGGGTCTGCGGAAAGATTTCCGAGAGATTTCGGAGTGATTTCGTGGATTGCGGAAGGATTTCGAAAAGATTTCGGAGATTTCGGACGAATTTGTGACACGATTTCGGGGAGTGATTAACCCCCTCGTTAATTTGAAACCGATTTCAACATAATTAGGCTGAAGTCAAATTATAGGTCTGTTTCTGCAGAAATCACAAACCAGTCGGAGCGAATTTCATTGGTTGAAACCAGTTAGAAAACTAGTTTCAACCAATAAAATTCCCTCTGATTGGTTCGCGATTTCTGCAGAAACAAACCTAATGTCTCTACAAACTCATAATTATTAGTTTGGATAATTAATAAATATATCCCCGAATCTTCGTAATAATTACACATGATTCTAAACATTCACTTCTTGCACGTTTCTGCGCTCCTGTTTCATACAGATTTCTATAAAAACGGCTTTAGCTTGTGTTTGATAGATGTCGCTTTTTTCCAATAACTTTCGGTTATAATCAGTAGATGGCGCCACAAAAGTTGCGATTTTTTTTTTGCCATTTTGCTCCTAATGAGTTCGCTTATATTTTGCTTTTTTTTTGTGGTTTTATTGATTTTTGTGCATTAAATTTATTTTTAATGGCCGTTTGCACCGACCATTTTAAGGGAGTTTTAGGGAATTAATTTTGGGCTTTTAGTAATTCTACTCCCACTGTTCCAAGTGTACTGACTTTTTTTGATCTGAAGCCGGAGTCTCATGTATCCGATTTCCGACGAAAGATGTCCGAAAAACCTTCTATTCTGACATAATCGTATATAAAAATGTCAGAATAGAAGGTTTTTCGGACATCTTTCGTCGGACAACGGATGCATGAGACTCCGGCCTTTTCAACTGTCCAACTTACTTTGACTGTTCTTGAGGTTCTAATTCTGTTCCATTTGTACTAGCTCGATTTAAATTCCTCTGCATTCTATCGGCATTTATAATTCTATTTGAATTCCTTCTACTGTTCGAGTTACTCTAAATGTTCCAATTGCTTTAATTTCTGTTTCATCTGCACTTAAAAAAACTGTTCTGTTTGCACTGCTCTGATTGTTACTGTGGTCCTTAATTCTGATCAATTTTCAATCAATTACTCGATTTAAATTACTCTAAGCATTCCATCTGCATTAAATTAGACAATCCAAGATGCTGTCAAACTTAAATTAAAATGTCCGCCAAGAGGCAAACAAACCCTTTGTTTATGTGTTATCAAAAATGGTGTTATGAGTTTTAAATAGTGCTAATTGTGAATTATTTGCGTTGTTATACCTAAAACTGTTGTTTTAATTAATGTTAGAAATAGTGTATTCGAATATAGTGTATGTTATATTGTAAATAAAATAGTAATTTGTGTTCCTTCTGCAATCTGCCGGCCAAATTTTGCTTATCAAACTCACGTTATTTTGGAAAGGCTAACTTCTATTTAATTCCTTCGAGTTACTCTAAAGTGTTCCAATTGCTTTAAATATGTTTAGTATAATATTTTCACCAACTTCTTGGTTTGGTCACAGTTTGTTTGGTGTCCCAAATAGTATATCAGTTCCTGAAAAATTGTCATCTTACGGGACATGGTTTTCCTGAATACTGATAAGTGATAATTATCCGTCAAATGGTTACTGGAAATTCCGGTTACTTGGGGAACGCAAATAGAAAATAAAACATAATTGACAGAAATTATAGATAAAACCACTGATAAAACCAACAGAACCGATGGCCGGTAACTATTTTGGCATTTGGTTAACCAGCTTTTAGGAAACCGAGGTCCAAAATAACCACTTTTCCAGGCACCAGAGTGATTTGATTACTTTCGGACCGCGAAACCACAAGCCTGGTTATATTCGGACCACAGCCTTAATGGCATGTAATATTGACAGTTGAGTTGAAGAGGGCGCTTCTGTACTTGGAGCTTTTTGAATTTTGGCGCGTCAATAATCCAATGTAATTTCAACCTCAAAAGTCAAATTTGATGTGTGGTTTCGTGACAAGCTGATGCTGACACTTTTGAAAATATTCTTTAAGGGCTACTGAACGTTTTAGAAGCTATTTTAACTTATTCACTGTTCATTGTTCATATGTAGTCATCTTTCCTTCCACTTATTAAAACGGTTTAAAACTATTGACATTTACCGCCAAAATTCAAAGCACTCCAAGTTCACTCGCGCCCCCTACAAAATTTTATGGAACTTAACTGGATATTTGCTGCCATTTCTGTTTCATCGGCTAGTTCAGAGTTGCTTTCGGCGTGCCACCCTTTGAGCGCTCCCGAGTTACTCCGAAGTACTCCGGCTCGTTCAGTTTCAAGCGTTCGAGTGCGAAACGCATGGAATATGACAGGTGTGAAGTGTTCTTGGTCTAAGTCTAGGAGCTTCGCACTCCTGCACCCGAAAGCGGCTTAGATGAACAAGAAAAACTGTTCTGTTATGATACTGCTCTAATTGTTTGTTCGAACTACTTTATTGCTACTTAAATGAATTTATTCACTATAACAGTATAGGCTGATTTGAAAATTAGCTTTCCTACAACCGTGCGGAAAAATCGATTTTCCGCACCGATATATGCGTGCGGAAAATGAGTTTTCCCGCACTGTGTGGTAAAACTTTTTTTTTGACATATCAGTGCGGAAAAAGTTTTTCCGCACTGATATGTCAAAAAAAAATAAATAAAAAAATTTACATTTTTTCGCCTGTAGGAAAAATATTGTACCTAACACTTGCGGAAAATATTTTTCCTACAGCCGTGCGGAAAAATCGATTTTCCGCACTGATATGCGTGCGGAAAATGAGTTTTCCCGCACGGTGCGGTAAAACTTTTTTTTTTTGACATATCAGTGCGGAAAAAGTTTTGCCGCACGGCTGTCAGTGCGGAAAAAATTTTACCGCACTGATATGTCAAAAAAAAAAAGAAAAATTTTACATTTTTACGCCTGTAGGAAAAATATTGTACCTAACACTTGCGGAAAAATTCATTTTCCGCACTTGTTAAGTAAATAGCTATTCCGCACTCGGCTGCATCACCGAACTCCGCTACGCGTCGTTCGGTGAACGGCAGCCGCGTGCGGAAAAAATTATTTTCCGCACTTGTTAGGTAAATAGCTATTATCTACGAGCGTGCGGTAAAGTGCACTTTACCGCACTCATTTGTAAATGGAAAGTAGCACTTTAAAGTTAGCTTTACCGCATAGTATGCGGTAAACTAGACTGCAAAGTGTGCGGTAAAGTTAACTTTACCGTATAGTATGCGGTAAAGTAGACTTTGGTATTTATGATTAAAAATCCTTTCTTTTTTAGAAAATGGATTTTTGATCATTTTTTAATCTAATCTAATTTCAATAATTAATCTGATTTATAATTAATTTTATTTATGCCTGTTTTTAGAGATGAAGATGCTCATAGGTAAAATTGTGTACCTAACAAATGCAGAAAGTGATACTTTACTGCACGCAACGGCAGTTAAGTGTCAAATAACACACAAATAACTATCACCTACGAGCGTGCGGTAAAGTGCACTTTACTGCACCCTTTTGCAAATGGAAAGTAGCACTTTATCGCATACTATGCGGTAAAGTGGACTGCAAAGTATGATGCGGTAAAGTGAACTTCATCGCATAGTACGCGGTAAAGTAGACTTTGGTATTTATGATTAAAAATCGTTATAAATTGTATTATCCTACTAATGACTTTGCACTGCTATCACTTAAGGGATATTTAAAATGTGACATTTGTTTCTACAAGAGTCACATTCAAAGCTGCACTTGGATTAAAAATATCCCTTAAGTTATAGCGGTGCTAATAGCCGTATGTGATGTTGAGCTCATTACATCACTCAGTGATGTGATGTGATGTAATATAAACTAGTGATGTAATGAGCTCATTACCTCATTTTTATTGAAAAACTGCACTTTTTAAAATTCATTTATCATTTATCCAAAATTATAAATATAAGGTAAAGTACTCAATTGATGACATGTTAAGGGTACCTATCGTTGCTTATGATCTCCACATATTTTCCAAAATTTCAAACTTGGGAAAATGTAGGTATGCCATTGTTATTTTGTAAAAATCAAGCCACATACCTACATACAGGGACGTTTAATTTTTTCTTGCCTTAAATGTTGAAAGGATATGAATGAAATCTTGCTAATGGAGAGAGAAAAGATTAAGATTTAAAAAAAGAATAATAAAAATCTGCTTTTGATCATACTCACACTCACCTTAATAAAAATCAAAGTCTAAAAGCTTTAATAAAGCCTTGCAGCTGCGAAACCATTGGAGTTGCATGGATGATAATATGGATAATTTCATAAGTTTTTGTAGAGAATTTTGTCTTTAATTTAAGCCTAATTAAAATGAAATTGGATTGAAATTAACAAAGTTAGGTACCTATGAGGCAAAATTCCATTTTTTGGACTCCAATAAAGCTTATCAATAAAATTGTTGTTAAAATTTCCTTATAATTATTAAAGAAAAATACCTACATGATAAAAACAAAGATAATAGTATTCCAAGGAATAATTAAAATCAACAAACAATACAAAATTAAGTAGAAATCTTATTATGGGTAGGTAATAACAAGATAAAATACAACAATCTTTTATTTTAAAAAGTTTATTAATTAGCATATATCTTTGGCACTTTTGTTTCACAAAACGATAAATAGTGTCTTTTGATTTAATACTGACAAGGTAGAATAATTATTATCTAAAATAAGTTAGAACGAAGATTTATAATAAATAATTTCACAATTTCTTTAAGTATTATTTTCTAACTAATAAAGCAAAAGCTCAATAATTCAGTTTGATCCATAATTTTGGCACCTACCTACATATTTTAAATATTTGCTCGGATATTCCAGAAATGTTTCAATAAAACATTCATGCTAGGCATAGGAGATGATGGATACCTGCCTAAATCAATTTTGATTTATTAGAAGATTATCCAACCTTCAAGGGAAATACTATTTGTCCCTATTATAAGGTCAGACAGCAATGAAAGGAATGTAATACATAGGTATTTGGTATATCTCTCATACAAAAATGTAAATTAAAGAATAGATTTTTCATTTCTAGTGGCATTCAGTCTTATGCGCTCAAATGTGAGCATTAGGGAAGCTCCAATAAAATTGACTATAGTGTCCATTAATACTCTTTCAACTAAAATCACACACAAATCAGCTATAAGAAAGCTGGAGATAGAGGTTTGAACCTAAATCTTCAATATTCTTGAGAGCTTGATAGCAAAAATATCACGTTATCTTATAACCAACTAATGAAGGCAAATATTATTATACTGCCTAGGCAAAATTTTGATTGACTTTTTGGGCAATTTGAAAAAACTTTTTCAATTTGATGGATTTTAGGTGTAGAACTAGTCCTATGAGTAATTGTTTCTGTGCCACTTCCTAAAATGTATATTAAAATGAAAATCTCAATAATTATTGCCTTTATAATACCTTCTAAAAATCTTTCACCATCCTCATCGTCATCATCTAAAGGCTGAATTACATTACACAAATCTTTGGTGCAATAGCAATACTCTATTGAATTTGCTGTTTTACAATCGTCCATTTTTAGTGGCTCACAGGAACGACTCAGAATAAGATTATCATTTACTAAAAATGAAAAGATACAATAGTTACTGGATTTGTATATGTATGTAGTATAGGTATACCTTTCCGTGCTATCCGGCAACTTCTACTGCTATTATCACATTCTTGGCTAAACTGAGGCTTTTCCATTTGGAATGAGGAACAAGCTTGATCTTCTATTACACCACATGTATAACATTTGAGTCCAGATACTATAAATAATTTTTAAAAAAATACAATATCTAAATATAAAAATTTTGCTTACCGTAAACTAGAGAAATTAGTATTGCTAAAAATAAAAGTAGCCACATGATGTTAATAGGACTTTATTAATGAAACTGTCTTTTAATTTATAAGCAAATTAATGCAATTAAGGAGTTAATTAACCAAACCATTAGAAATACTTGTGTTTAAAGAGTTTTATCAATAGGAAGTAAAAATGTAAACACAAACATTCCTATTCCTACCGATGACGTTGACATACAAAATGCTGTTAACCTCTAGTTTTTGTAGTATTGTATTATTATTATTAAACAAAAAGATAATTTAAACAATGAAAAATGGTCTCAATAAACGTGGCATAAAATGACCACCCCCAAATATGTGTACTTAATTCCAGGTTTTTAGACCAAAACATGCCCGAAAACGATCAGTACCCCCCTTGGGTAAGTCAATACAATACAATGCTAAAAACCTCAATTAAAATCATTATTTCACAGGTGGGTTTAGTCTACGTGTTCAATTTAATCGTTGGTACAGGAGCCCTAACTTTACCAGCAGCCTTCCAAGATGCCGGATGGCTATTCAGTACTGTAGCCCTAATGGTGCTTTGCTTTGTCAGCTTTATTACAGTCACCTTTGTTATAGAGAGCATGGCCTGTGCAAATGCTACTATACAATGGAGAAAGATGCAGCAGCATAAGATTGATGTAAGAACATAATGCAAGAAAGAAAAGTATTAATCTATAAACAAAATATTATCTTATTTATATGTACATACACTTTCCTTCAATTCAAAGTACCTATGATCTTTTCTTGTTTTTAAAAATATGGAAGTGCTTTATTAGAATTGTCTTTCCATCTCAGTATATAGGACATAAGTGAAGAAGTTGTGATTCAGCCATCTAAAATAGAGAAACTACTTGAAATATCTTAACCATAGAAAAAATTAGTCTTTTTCAAGTTTTCCATCTTTAAGATCATGTTTCCCCTCAATACACATAAATTACTTTAGAGAAGTATAAGAAAGAGGTTCTGGAGTCAAAATACTCTAGAAGCCCTTAGGAATACTCTTTAAGAAAACTTTCCTATACAAGAAGCATTTGAAGATACAAACAGATCTTGTAGAATTAAAAATCTTCACAAAATTTCATTGTTAGTATTCTTTTTTATCTGAGACTTGGAAAATCAACTCCAAACTCTACTAATTAAGTTGTGTAGGTGAAGAAACATGAATATTTTATTCCTGGGCTCTCCTAGTTGATATAGAGAGCCTCATTTTGCCTCCTCTATGGAGCTAAAACTCTGAAACTCAACTGAGAAAATCAAAATTTCTATTCCAGGCTCTCCTAAAACATTGAATTTTAAGTTTGCACCTTCTTAAGCCTGTAATACATCTGTTATATTTTCCATGTATTTCTTCATGTACCTACCTAATTCAGGGTGCCACAAAAGTTTTTCGGTTATGACCCTGAACTACATGAAGAAATACATGGAAAAATACACACAATACATGCTTTACAGCTCTGGTTGTTTGATAAGCTCATTTCCAACTTGTGTAGCTGACTTTTGAGTAGAGAAACATGAATATTCTATTCCTGGCTTTCCTAATTGATATAGAGACCATCATTTTGTATCCTCTATGCAGCTCAAACTCTGAAACTCAACTGAGAAAATCAAAATTCCTATTCCAGGCTCTCCTAAAACATTGATTTTCAAGTTTCCACTTTCTTAAGCCCGTATTACGTCTGTATATTTTTCAGTGTATTTCTTCATGTAGATCAGAGTGCCAAAATTATTTTATTTTCCATACTGCTGTTGTGTTTGAAGTTTTTCGGTTGTGACTTTGAACTACATGAAGAAATACACAAAAAAATACACAGATGCAGGGGCAAATACAGGCCTTTTGAAAGAGGGGGGCAGTTCAAGTTAAAGTACCTAAGACAGATTGGGTTAGTTTTGGCAGCGCATTGTGCAAGATACGGTTTTTCGAAGGAATGGCCCATAAAAATATGGGAATGGGGGAACTATTAAGGAGAATAAGGTGATTTCAAACAGGTAGGTAAAGGGTGTTTTTTTATATACTGACACCCCACCTACAGCCTTTACCTTTACAGGTAAAAAAATGGTGTAAATACAAAAGTTGTACAGTTTTGGCTGAATTTTTAGAAACCATGTTCAGAAACAAAATTTGAATGTCAGAAATGTGAAATTTTGCATGCTTCCTCCCAACTTTTTTCAAATGGGATGCCCTCTATATTTCAGTCTATATTCTTGAAGAGCATAATACCCCAATTCCAAAAGAATATAGTTTGTCTATATTTGATTGAACAGTCTCTCATATATTCGGCTCCAAAAATTGTAAAAATACTACCTATCCTACTACTGATTCTGTGAGCCATTCTACAAATACAGGTGAAAGCTGCAGGTAAAATTCAAGGTACTTGGTTTCTCTGATAGTATCTTTAAAATTTTTAGAACCAAATATGTTGGACCATGGATTCTAAAAATTTAGCCAATACTGTACAACTTTTGTATTTACAGTTTTCATCTACTTGTAAAGGTGAAGGCTATAGGTGGAGTGTCAATACATAAAAAAATACCCTGTACTTAAACCTTATTATTTAAAGTCAGAATTTGTAAGATTATCCATTTTTTGTCAATTTACCTTTCAATAGGAATTAGTAATGTTACTTTACCAAACTAGTAACATAATGTGACAAGTTATTCAAGTACAAACAAGTGGATTGTTGCGGAATTTATGGGTGAGTCATCTGTTCATTAAAATACGTTGTTCAAGTACGATACTAACCTGACTCACTCAAATATCAGTTATTCTTAGTTGAAAAACTACAAGTTTCAGGTGAGTGTCTTATTTGAATAGTTCAACAGTATATTGGTGAATAGATGGCTGCGGAACTCGCTGCGCTCGTCCCGCAGAGGTCCACCCATAAGTTCCGCAAATCCACTTCTTTGTACTGGAAAAATAACTTATTATATAAAATCAGAATTTGTAAGATTATCCACTTTTTGTCAATTCACCTTTCAACTGGAATTAGTAATGTTACTTTACCAAACTAGTAATATACTGTGATAAGTTATTCAAGTACAAACGAGTCGATTGTTGCGGAACTTATGGGTGGACCCAGCCATCTATTCACCAATATGTTGCTCAAGTACAATACTAACCTGATTCACTCAGTTGTGAATTTTTCTCATTAGTTCAAAGCTACACGTTTCAGGTGAGTGTCTTATTTGAACAGTTCAACAGTATATTGGTGAGTAGATGGCTGCGGAACTCGCTGCGCTCGTCCCGCAGAGGTCTACCTATAAGTTCCGCAATAATCCACTTATTTATACAGGGTGTTTTTTCATATATTGACACCCCACCTACAGCCTTTACCTTCACAGGTAGAAGAAAGGTGTAAATACAAAAGTTGTACAGTTTTAGCTGAATTTTTAAAAACCATGGTCAAAAGAAAAAAATTGAACGTTAGAAATGCCCCCCTTGCTCCCCCGCTGTATCCGCCTCTGCATAGGTGTAATATGGGCTGAGTTTTGGTTGTGTGATGAGATAAGCTCATTTTCAACTTGTGTAGCTGGATTTTATGTAGAGAAACATGAATATTTTATTCCTGGCTCTCGTAGTTGATATAGAGAGCCTCATTTTGCATTCTCTATGCAGCTCAAACTCTGAAACTCAACTGAAAAAATCAAAATTTCTATTTCAGACTATCCTAACCTATTGAATTTTAATTTTGCACCTTCTTAGATCTCTGGTTGTTTGATCAGCTCATTTTGAACTTGTGCAGCTGGATTCTGAGTAGAGAAACATGAATATTTTATTCCTGGCTCTCCTAGTTGATATGGAGAGCCTCATTTTGCATCCTCTATGCAGCTCAAACTCTGAAACTCAACTATGAAAATCAAAATTTCTATTTCAGACTATCCTAAAGTATTGAATTTTAATTTTGCACCTTCTTAGAGCTCTGATTGTTTGATCAGCTCATTTCCAACTCGTGTAGCTGGATTTTGAGTAGAGAAACATAAAAATTTTATTCCTGGCTCTCCTAGTTGATATGGAGAGCCTCATTTTGCATTCTCTATGCAGCTCAAACTCTGAAACTCAACTGAAAAAATCAAAATTTCAATTCCAGACTGTCCTAAAACATTAAACTTTAATTTTGCACCTTCCTAGAGCTCTGGTTGTTTGATCAGCTCATTTTCAACTTGTGTAGCTGGATTTTGAGTAGAGAAAAATAAAATTTTTATTCCTGGCTCTCCTAGTTGATATAGAGAACCTCATTTTGCACCCTCTATGTAGCTGAAACTCTGAAACTCAACTGAGAAAATCAAAATTTCTATTTCAGACTATCCTAAACTATTGAATTTTAATTTTGCACCTTCTTAGAGCTCTGGTTGTTTGATCAGTGCATTTTCAACTTGTGTAGCTGGATTTTGAGTAGAGAAACATAAAAATTTTATTCCTGGCTCTCCTAGTTGATATAGAGAACCTCATTTTGCATCCTCTATGTAGCTGAAACTCTGAAACTCAACTGAGAAAATCAAAATTTCTATTCCAGGCTCTCCTAAAGCATTGAACTTTAATTTTGCACCTTCTTTGGTAGGTTTGCTAAGCACATTTTCAACTTGTGTAGCTGGATTTTGAGTAGAGAAACATGAATATTTTATTCCTGGCTCTCCTAGTTGATATAGAGAGCCTCATTTTGCATCCTCTATGGAGCTGAAACTCAACTGAGAAAATCAAAATTTCTATTTCAGACTATCCTAAAGCATCGAACTTTAATTTTGCACCTTCTTAGAGTTCTGATTGTTTGATAAACTCATTTTTGGCATTTCTGGAGCTGAATTTGAAGTAGAAAAACATAAATATCCTATTCCTGACTCTCCTAAGGAGGAAATTGAACTGAAGAAGTATCAAACTCTGATTTCTGATCATTTTAAACTTAATAAAAACATCATTTTGACCAGAAACTGAACTAAAAGTCATTAGGTGAAGCTCATTTTGCACCCTACTAGAACTATATCAAATTGCTTAATCCACTTTTAAGTTTAAAGTACTTGAGTATAAAACAAAGAGAATCTTTATTCAATGAACATATTTGTTGCAGGAAAGTGACGCCTCCCAAAACCCAAGCAACGACTCCGAAGCTGACAACACAACCGAAGAAACCGCAATCCTGACCAGCACCAACACAAAACACTTCTACAACCTAAACAAAAAAGTCGAACTCACCGAAATGGCTTCCATTTACTTATCGAAAACTGGCCACATATTATTTTTCATTTCACTTTGCATTTACCTATTCGGAGACTTAACAATCTATGTAGCTGCTTCCGGTAAAACCATAATAAATTTAAGCTGTCAACAATCGAATAATACAGAAAACTTTACTGAGCCTTGTTGGCAAAACTCAGACATTACCAAATTCGACATGTACAGAATCTATGTGGCTTTATTTGGCTTATGTGTAGGCCCCTTTACTTATTTCAACGTACAAAAAACAAAATATTTACAAATGTTTACCATAAGTATAAGATGGTTAGCTTTTGCAATAATGCTTACTTTAGCTGTAGTTAGATTAATCAAGAATGGCCAACAAGGACACCCAAGTTTGATTAATTTAGCTGAAATACCAGCACTGGCAGGTTCCAGTGTCTACAGTTTCATGTGCCACCATTCATTGCCAGGGCTTATAGCTCCTATATCCAACAAGCACAAGCTTATAAGCAAAATAAGCTGGGATTTTATAGTTATAAGTAGCTTTTATTTATTGTTGTCGCTCACAGGGTCTTTTGCCTTTGAATCAATAGATGTTTTGTATAATTTGAATTTTATCGCCACCAAAGATTCAGGGGTTTTCATGAGGATTGTTGGCACTTTTTTAGCTGCATTTCCTCTATTTCCAATGATTGCAAGTTTTCCTATTATCGCAATAACGCTACAAGGTAATTTGAAGCATTTATTTTTAGAGCCTCAAAGTATTGAAGGGCAAGGATTTTTTGTTAAACGGTTGTTATTTCCTAGCTTGGCAATAACTCCTCCATTAATTACTGCTTTGTCCACGCACAATTTGAAAGGTTTAGTGGAAATAACTGGATCGTATGTAGGCGTAGTGGTACAGTATATTATACCGGCTTGTTTGGTTTGGAAAGCTAGGAAATATTGCTTGAGGCAATTTGGGTATATTGGTCATAGATATGCAAGTCCTTTTAGGCATGTTGGCTGGTTGGTTTTTGTGGTTGTTTGGTCAGCCCTTTGTATTGTTTTTGTTACAGTTGATTTAATTATTAACAAAAGTATTAATTGAAACTGTATAGACTGTATTTAATTTTTAAGACTAAAATATTTATATCCTAGTGACAATATTTTTCTATTAATAATGGTTGCAAATTTTTATTCAAATTTATTGAATAAAAATCCGCAAATTAACTCTGTGATAGATTTTAAACTGTGTATGTGCATCTCTCAATGTTAGTTGTAAGTTTTAATAATTAGTATTTAGGTAATACTACCTATTTTAGTAATGTGTTTGAATAAAAGGATGTTTAGTCCAACTTGATTGTCTCATTTGTTGGCACTACAAAGTATATTGTTTATAATTATTCAAACTGCTCAGCAAAGTGTGTTCTACAGTTGATGGTCCATCTAAAATTGAAATTTTGAAATTATTCTGTAAAATGTGCAAAATGAAAAAGTACGTCACCTATAGGATACCAAGAAGTATTTCCTGGTGAAGCTTCTTTTCTAGCCGAAGCAACTGCAGCTCTAAGTGCTAAAGGCAAAGCTATAGTCAAGCAAGCAGGCGGTTCTGCGATAGCTACAAAAAAAATTATAATGCATGAAACATTAACACAACAAATTGTTACCTTTTGAGTTTAATACTCCCAAAGGATTCAAACTCTTATTGGAAAATCGCACTCTGAAATCCTGAGGGATGTCTTTGGCGCCTGGTACTTTATAGTTCCATGTGCGATCATTTAAAAGTTGGCCTTCTGCACTGTAAATTAGTTCCTCCATGGTATGATAGCCTATACCCATTAAAACAGCCCCTTCTAGTTGCCCAATATCGATCAAGGGACTCATGCTTTGGCCCACATCTTCCAAAATATCCAGACGAAGGATTTCGTGTTTGCCCGTCAAAATGTCTACTTCTACTTCTAGAGCCATTACTCCATAAAGTGAATAGGCTTCATAACCAGGTGCATTTTCAAAGAAACTTAAAAAAAAAAAATTAATAAGGAGTTTATTAAAAACTTAATACTTACAATCCATTGGCACTAAGACAAATATTTTTCTCGTAGCAAAGTTGTATGAGTTCCTCCCAAGTTGCATTTGGATTTTGGTCTCTTATTGGTTTGATACGTTCTAGTAGTACATCACAAGCTCGTAATAAAGACTAGAAAGAAAATGTATAAAATTATAGTTAATTGAATGATTTACTTACGTATACAACAGCTTCTGACGTCAAACTACCACCGGACATATATGAATTAGGCGAAGCAACATTATAAGACGGTTTCACAGATACTTTTTCCATGGGAATCCCAAATTTGTAGGCGCAAACTTGAACCACCTAGAATTTCTATTCAATAAAGTTGTTTTTGTTTAAAGATACTGATTACTTTTGTGTTGATTCCTTGTCCCATTTCAATGCCACCATGACTTACGGCAACGCCACCATCTATATTGTAAATGGATACAAGAGTAGTGTAGTTTGAGGCCATGTCCATAATGAATTTCATTGGAACGACTGAGATACCCTTCTTTTTCCATTTATTGGCCTAGGATCAAAGTTTTATTGATGTAAATTTTTTTGAAGGATTAATTTCTGACCTCGAATCAGTTACATGACTGGTACTGAGGCCTTCAAGGAAAATAGTTATAAACAGAAAATATAGATCTATATAAAAATATTTAGAAAGCTAACTGAGTTATTCTAAAATAAGGACTACTAATAAACATCAGTTTCTGTCATTAAAAAGTCTTTTGAGATTATGGTATACTGCATTTTCTGTAGCCTGTTGTACATATGATATAGGTAATTGTTTTTGTGGAGAGCAATCTTAGCAGTGACTTTTCAGAAAACGAAGTGAACTGTGAGGGCTTTAATCTAAACAAGTGCGACAGAAATCTCAGAACTAGCAAAAAATCCAGCGGTGGAGGAGTGTTGATATATATTGGCAAAAAAGTGCAATCAAGTTGTATTAAAATAACAGAGGATAGAGTTGAGCAGCTGTATATCTTTTGCCAGATAAATGGAACAAAATTTTTTGTGGGTGAAGTATACATACCCCCTCAATCGCCCCAGGAATATATTATACTTGGCACTGTGCAACAGTTGAAAGTCTATGTCAGCAGTTTTCTGAGCTGAATGTGTTAGGTGATTATAACAAGATTATAACCTACCAAACGCAAGCTGGTCTAATGATGACTTCGGAGCACTGGTGCAATGTCCAGGTGATGACCCAGCAATGCAGGTAGCCCAATCCTTCGGCTACCTCCAGTTGTTTCAAAATAGGATACCAAATAATCGTAATGTTTTCTTGGACTTAATATTTTCTAGTGTTAAGGATTTAGAGTAAGTGATTTGCTTTTAGATATAAACTTCCATCATATAAGCTATGAATGTTCAATTTCAGTGTCTCTCGATTCTAGGTCTGACAACTTAATTTATGGAGATATCTACTATGATTTCTGCAATGGTAATTATATGGAATTTAATAACTATCTTGCTACTATTGATTGGGTATCATATTCTTGAGTGGTGAAGATATTAATGAATCTGCTAATCTTTTTTATGAATGTCTGACAACTGGTATCTCAAACTTTATTCCATTTCCTCTTGCCCAAAGTGGTTTTCCTCGGCATTACGCAAACTAACCCTGGAAAAAAAAACATGCATACCTACTTTTCCGAAGTAAACGACCGGTCTGATTTAAATTATATGAGGTTTTCTCAGCTTCGCTCTGAATGCAAGAGGCTTTTCGATGCTTATTTCAATAGTTATATCAGGGGCTTCGATATGAGATTGAAGGAAATCCTAGATCGTTTTGGAAGTTCATTGGTGACAAGCGCTCTGGTCATAGTCTCCCTAGTACTCTTTTATATGGTGATGAAACTGCGAAGAATGGTCACGGTGTACACAAGAAATCAGGACTCTTCTTTTTCTCCTGAATATATCAACACAAATATTGGCTCTAATATTTCATGCTCTAACATATCAAAGGATGGATATTTTCAACGAAATTTGTAAACTTCCTGATAAACTTACATCAGGGCCCGGTGGAGTACCCAACTTCTTGTTGAAAAAATGTGTTTGCGTGTTTGTTCTGCCATTATATAATATCTTATTTAATAAATCCTTGGAATGGTCTGTTTTTCCTGATGTCTGGAAGAGTAGCAATATTGTCCCAATATTTAAGAGTGGTGAAAGAGAGAATGTTGAAAACTATTGCGGTATATGTATACAATCAGTTATATCAAAGCTTTTTGATTGTCTTATTAGCAAACAATTAGCTTGGCAATGCAAAGGTCTTATTTCACAAGAACAACACGGATTCTCTCAAAATAAATCAACTGCAACCAACTTAATACTTTATCAGTCTGCTATCTTGCAAAATATGGAAGCCAAGAAGCAGACTGACTCTATATATTCAGATTTCTCTAAGACTTTTAATCGGGTTGATCATCGGGTTCTTCTTCAGAACAGAAATTCCGCCATAAAATCGGTTTTCACTCAAACTCTGTATCGTGGGTTGAGAGCTCGTGTCCAGCATGTCAAAATTGGGTGCTTCAGCTTTGAGACTGAACTAAAACCACCTATATTTGCTCAAAAACAACTATAGCTGAGTAGCTTCCCGTATGGGACCTCAGTATCCGCTGGGAAACTGGCTAACAAAAATACTCTTCAGTATCGAATGTAGGTAGAGTTGATTGAATGTTGAGTGTGTAATTAAAATTTTAGCACAAAGACCAAAGGTAATAAAAATTCACACCGTTCAATCTTACTGAACGAACCCGTGTATGTTATACTACAAGACTATTCAAGTGACGTCTGGTGTGCCACAGGGCGGACACTGTTCACCCTTGCTGTTCAACATTTTAGTGAATGACATTGGGGATTGTTTTATAAATAGTAAATATGATGACCTCATAAGTTCTGGAGAGCGGTAATGATAGCTTTTTCGACCAGAATCTTTTGCAGGAGGATTTAAATCGCTTGGCAAAATGGTGTGATATAAATAAATAATATTTGAATGTCAAAAAATGTTGTTTTGTGAGCTTTACTCGCGGATCAAATAAATTTGTGGCTTGAATATGTCTCTTCTGTGAGGGATCTTGGTGTTACCTTTGACGAAAAACTATCTTTTGTTGAACATACATTAATGCCATTTCTATGAAAAGTTCAAAAATGTTGATTTTTATTATTAGAAATTGCAATTTTTTTTTCAATTGAGTCCACTCCGAGTGGTGTATTGTTCATTGGTTCGGTCAACCTTGAAATACTGTTCAGTTGTGTGGTCGTCATATCACCAAGTCCATTCTGACTCATTGGAAGGAGTCCAGCGTAAATTTTTACGGATTTGTGCTTTCAAAAGTAATTTTAGATATAGGATTGTCAACCATGACTATGGGATTGTTGAGCAGCAACCAGAGCTGTTAGTACCAAGAAATTATAATGATGCCGCGAGACTCGAGACTGGTCTCGTCTCGTCTCGTCTCGTCTCGACTTTTCGAGACAAGACTGGCTTTTGGTCTCGTCTCGTGAAGTCTCGACGAGACGAGACCAGACTAGGCGAGAGTCTCGTGTAGTCTCGGGTCTCGAGATTACAATTAAATTTTTTCTTTCATAGCTTTATTATTGGACTAATCTGGGCTATTTGACTATGAAATCAGTAAATTAAATATGAAGGTTGAGGGTTACTCATCTTTACTGTGATTTTTCACTAATTGATTTTTCACTGTGGCAGTTTGGACTTCCGTTATAATATAAAAACAAAAACCATAAATACAGGGTGTCCGAAAAATAGCGTAAAAACTCTCCACGTAGTAGGGGACCCTTTGAGAAACCCTAGGAAAATAATTAAATTAAAAAAATCCTTCTCCAGCATTATTCTTAGTAATATGAAGAGGTAGAAGTGAAAATTCACCTTCGAATTCTTCAGGTAGTTATATGGGTATTTAATTTAATTCTCTGACATATTGTCAACGGGATATTTTCAGTGTTGCCAATTTTAATAAATATTAAAATGCAAATAACTTTCTTAAGAATATGCCACTAGATTTTTTAAAGTATTTTTCTGGGGTTCCTTGTAGGGTCCTCCAACACGTAGAGAAGAGTTTTTACGCTATTTTTCGGACACCCTGTATAACTCGAGACCAGAACCGAAACCGCCATGGATTTTGAAAGCACTCCATGCAAATGCATCAGAATGCGTTCGAAATCCATGGCGGTTTCGGTTCGAATCGAGAGTTCGTAATCCGCCCCCAGACGAGACCACTCGAGACGAGACGAGACTTTGGTACTCGAGACCGAGACTAAATCACGGTCTCGTCTCGAGATGTCGAGACGAGACGAGACCAACCCTAAGTCTCGTCTAGTCTCGTCTCGCGGCACCACTACAAGAAAATAAAGTAGGTACTTAAGTATTAGGTACAAGTTTCTATTTTAATATGAATCAAGTACCAGTACAAGTATAAGTATAGAAGGAAATAAAATATCAAGTAAATTGACTTGAATTGTCCAAATTCAAATACAAGTAGGTACCAAATTCCATGAAAATCAGAGTCAAGTTGTATTTATCTAAACTTGCGTACTTAAAATGATATTTACTTAGAAATATGTACTTAAAAAAATAATTTTGGTATATTTTATTCCAATTATTGTTCGAATTAAACTAACAAATTGAATTATTGCTATTGATAATCTTGAAGGTAGTGTGACCCAAAAATAAAAGTTTTAGAAAATAAAAATCCAAGAATAAATTTTCAAAGCGCATTAGGCTACGACGACTAACCGTTGCGAAGATACCTTAGTATAAATAAGTTCCCACTTCTAGCACTGTGACGTCATATGCACAAACAACTGAGTCCGACAACCGAGCCGGCGCGCGTTTTCTGATTCTTGCTGCATAATCGTATTTATGTCCTTCAACTCAAATTATTTCTGAAACTAATGGGTTTAGCCATATGACATGTTTCATAATTGTTGTTTAGAATCTCTAGAGGAATTAGAAAATGTAATTAAAAAAGGATCATTCCATTAAAAAAAAAATAAGTTTTGTGTAGCACAACTTTTTGGGCCACCCTGTATAATTACATAAGTCCTATTTCACTAGATTTTATTAAGACCTTCAACTTTTAAGCCTAGTACTCATAACTGCGAAATTCGCATTTTTTTGACATTGCTTCGACAATTTGACGTTTGATACACGCATAAAACGTCAAATTTTCAACGCAATGTCAAAAAAATGCGAATTTCGCAGTTATGAGTACTACACTTTATACAGGAAGTTTTTTTTATATTGTGCACTATTTTCAAAATAATTGACTGTTCCGGGACTTTTTACACACTGTGTATATTAGCTCTGTTCCCAACCGACATGAGAACCGTTCCAGAACCAGTAATTTCCAGTTGTCTACGTAAGTTGAACGTTTATCCTACTTGAGAAATGAATTGATCAACTGAAAATTACCGTTCTAAAACGTTTCTCATGTCGGTTGCAACAGAGCTCTTATCGACATTATCGTATTGTTTTTGCATTCACACATCTATTGGAACGTCAGTTTAAAGAGGTTTTGCAATTTTTGCGTGTATTTATGACGTTGTAGTGACGCAGAAATAAATCACCAAGAAAAACCGCCAAGAATAAAATAATTGTTAATAGATCCGGTTATTTTGTTGAAAAATGAAACAAACAACAAACAAAACATTAATCAAACTGGAAAAATGAAATCAAAATCAACATTAACTTACCGAAAATTAAACACCCCAGGAGACATCAACACTCAACCAGTTACAGTCGGAACTTCTAGTAAAATGATCTGACCATCGAATAAAGAAACAACAGAAACTGAAATCCCTTCTCAAAAATCCGATAAGTGGGGCCACTCAAAAATAGATGATTCAATTGGAATGTGTCCCTGAAGTGCGGCACTTTACTAACATGACGCCATCTGCACAGAACGCCATCTGTCACTGAACCCAAATGCCGGGAAAGCATCATAAATCAGGCGAAGAAACAGAAAGGGTACCGCATTCCACTAAAAAGAGGGCCGAAATGACGAAATCTTGATGTCAAAGCACTCATAAAATTGGGGGAGAAATAAGGCCGAAAGAACAAAGGAAGGAAGGAGACAATTTGTATATAAGAAGCCGGAATTGCGATAAAACTAGCAGTGTCGGTTCAGAAGAAATGTTAGTCAAGAACGGTCAAAAGTATCAGTCGAGAACAGTCAGTCTAGAACGGTCAGTCAAGTGTCAGACGCAACAAGCAGAGTCCAAAGTCGAAGATAGTATGAAAAGTTTTAAGGAGGCATTGCGAAAATTTTGGGTTCATAAATTCAAGTCGTAAAAATAACGTTCCAGTAATTACGTGTGTGCCAGTAGAATTTTAAAGTAATAAATACATCTTGTAAGTACATTTACACTGTAAAAACGGAAATTTGTACTCTTTATAAAATAGGACAAAAAGTTAATGAATTGATTAATTTACGAAAGTTAAATAATTATCCCAAAAGGAATTAAAACATTTTTAAGATGATTAATAGTTGGTAAAATAAGAAAATTTGAAGCTAAATTTTGTAAAAGAAATTTTGTTATTGAAACATATTTCGTTATTCATAATTATTTGTAACATTTTGAATTGGGATTTTTGTGGTTGATAATATATGTGGCAACAAAAACGTCAAAATCTGCTTTAGCCAATCAGAGGGCGTTTACAATCACATGATTTATCGTTTAAATTTTTAGTAAAATCTTGCAAAATATTGTTCATTCTCGGTTGCATTGATGTATCTGCGTCAAAAAATATCATAATTTGCCATATTCCCAACACGTGAAAGTGGCCCATTTTGTATCCATTCACCTCCCCCATATTTCCATATGTGGTAATGATCTGTGAATTTTTTAGGAGATCCAGATTAATGTCACCAATAAGTAAATATATAGGTAATATTAACAAATACCACACAACATCATCTATGGAAAAATTAACTCAGACAAGCATTTAATATTGTCAAAGACAAAGAGTGGAAGTGAAACAAAAAGACTTGTAAGAGTCATCACCTGAATCAGATCTACAAATCAATGAAAAATAAAAGAAGATCTAGTTCTAGTTTTACCTTATTATATTGTTCAATATCCGCTTTCCTCTTCACAATATCGTCAGATTTCAGCATGTCGTCTAAAAAGTCCACCAGCAAAGGATTACCAGGTCCATCAAAGTTAGCTCTTCTCACATCCACCGGATCCAGTTTAAGAGTGTTTGCAATGTGGTCCATAATAGCTTCGATTGCAGTTATGCCTTCTATAGTACCTGGAGCTCTAGCGTAGCAATGGGCAGTATTGTCAGTAACTACTGTGTAAGTATCAAAAGTCCAAGTGTCTACGACGTAGCAGTTTTGAAATTGGTGTACCAGCAAACGGTCCATTGGCTCGTTACTACCGATACCGTAGTCTGAATATAAATTACTCTAAAAATTCAAATGAAATTAAATCAAAATAAATGCTTATTGGAAGATTCTTACAGTAAGATACTGGATAACTCCATTAGCATTAACTCCAACTTCATATTCATTATAAAATGGGTATCTTTTGCCAATCATGTCCATGTTATCGTAAAAATTCATCCACATTTTGACTGGTCTGTTGAGTTTGGTGGCAACTAAAGCACATGCGCTCGCTGCGAACATGTTTCTAGTTAGTTTGGCCCCATATGCACCACCTAAACGCCTCACAAACATGCTAATCCTAAAAAATAAATCTTAAATTATTGATGCCTGATAATAATAATCGATTACTTTTGCGAAGGAATATTGAGAATCTGCGCTACAGCCCCTTGTATCCCATTCATCCATTGAGTAGCAGAAAAAATGTCGAGCCCATCTTCCCTTGGTATTACCATGCAGTTTTGAGTCTCCATGTGAAAATGGTACTGACCGCCAACGAAAGTTTTGCCTTTAATCACGGTCTTAATATCGGTGCCTTTAGATTTAGGCTTAAAACTAGTCTGGTGAGTGATTCTGCTCGTTTCATTTGCAGCTAAAACATCTTGAACGGTTAATAGAGGCTTTTTAGTTGGTGGTGTTGTTGTAATTTCGACTAACTTAGCTGCAGCTTCAGCTGCTTCAAGATTATTAGCTACTATAACACCCACTTGCTGAGAGTAGTGTTGCACAACATTGTCGCAAAACAGTTTTTCTTCTACCGGTAAAATCAGTTTTGCTGTAGCGATATTGTTTATTCCAGGAATATCTTTGGCCGAATAGAATGCTACAACGTCAGGATAATTTAAGGCTTTTATAGGATTTATGCTGGTAATAGTTGAGCCTGGAATAGCTTGAGCTTTAACAAAAACACAATGCAATTGGTGCGGTAAGTCTGGCATATCTAGTATATATTGAGCTTGACCTGAGGTTTGTGCCAGAGCTTCTACCTTCAAAATGGGCTGAGTTAAAGGATACAATTCCTCTTTGCTGAAAATTTGCTGAGTTCCACTAGAAACTGGTCTGGATAACAAAGTGGCTCCGCTTTTATTTCTTTCTGATATTTTTTGTGGAGGTGCAATGCTTAAAACGTACTAAAAATATTTACAAACTTAATAAAGAATATGTTTATGTTTGGATTATTTTATACTTTGTAAAAAAGATTGATTGCTAATTGTTTCCTGAAACTCGGACTCGGATCTGGCAAAACCCAGTCGGGATTCAGCTCTTGGTCCAGCGATTGGAAAATTTGCTGCAATACGTTGTCGTTGAACAAGGGATTTTTCAATAGTAAAGCTTCGGTGTTGGATGCGTGCACGAATGTCGGGTTTATGCCTCCGTAAACGATTCGAGCCGATTTTATTTGACCCATATTGTCGATGTTCAACAGGAATCCTGCGTTGACTATCGCATGAGCGTTTTGAGCTCTTGGCATGATCTGGAACAGAATTTGTGCATTGTAGAATCTTCACTAAGAAGTTCGTTGGACTATTAAGGATTTTTTTGAAAAAACATAAAACCGAAATTGGAAAAATAATGAGTGAAAACAATGGGATAACTGGGCCAGTCTGGAAATTTCAGACCAATATTATTTTGAAAGGGAGAGGTCTTTTCCAGGTTATTGATGGTTCAAAGATAAAACCCATCAGTTCAGGAGATGACCTACTTATTAATAAATGGCTCAAGGATAATGCCAAAGCACAGGAGCTATTAGTTACTCGTATGGACGAGGGTCCTCTAACATACTTGCTATCATGCGAGTCATCAAAAGAGATGTGGACAAAACTGAAAACAGTACCTATACGATAAAGAGTTTGTATGTAGTAAGCATCCACTTGTTATAACAGATATTCTTCCTGCTTGATTTTGATTCTCCTGCAACTACATTTATAAGTATCGAAAATTGAGGAAATCAAGACAAAATTGAAAACTGCAGGTGAAACCTTATCGTTGAAAATGATAACGAAAATCTTAATGAGTCTGCCAGACCAATTTAAACATTTTAGGTCCGCCTGGAAATTAGTGCCAGTGGATAACCATGATCAGACATTATAGAGGAATCTAGATTATTGCCGGAGGAGGAAAGATGCAAATCTGCCAAAACTACTACGGCTCTTGCTGCTAAAACGGTATACCAAAACAAAAAGTGCAAAAATTGGTCACATAGCCAAAAATTGTTAATTAACCCTAATAATGAGCAGACAGGAAAACCAGGGGAAAAAGTTTTCAGTTACTGTCGCGAACCAAAGCATTTAGTGTAAACTTGTTGGATAAAGAAGGAAACTCAAGCAGGAATACCGAGAAGAATACTGTCGGGTCACACAAGAACAAAATGATACAAATGCATTCATGATTCATTCAGAAGAGGATATGGAAAAATAATTTTTTGGGGATATTGTCGTATCTAAAATAATAGGACATCTCTCCTCGGTTAATTAAACTCAATCGTCTTCCAATAAAGGTTCATGGGCTTCAGGAAAATCATTGATCACGTTACATTTAAATAACATTCGGTTGCAAGTTGAACGAATTATTGAATTATTAATTCGTACGTACAAGGAACCTAAACCCATGGAAGGTCAATGTCAACGATAGTTCACTGGTAATTATTATAATCAGCGATCACGCGCCATGGTCGCTTGATTAATATAAAATAATGGTTATTGGAAGATGGAGAATTATCTGCGTTACTTACTTAGTACTGTAGTAATAGTACGTGCCTTCTGTCAGTTCTGTCCTGTGATAATTATTAGTGCCCATGCCCATAATTGACATGTACCTATTTGTAGTTAGCTTTATGCTAATACATTTTCCTATTTTTGTCCTTGACTCTAGTTTTGATTCTCACCCCCTCATTAACCCCCAGGTCCGACAATATAATGGTGAAAGATTGATTAAAACTTCCCTATCAAATGTTCTGTATGTACCTACCTAAACTAAAATTAGTAAAATTTAATTTATTTTCTGCTGGGTGCATTTGATGTTTTATGTCATCATTTAAAGTGCCTGTTTTCTGACAAACAAGGGATAACATGAGCTCAAGCAGTAACGCAAAATAAATTATATAGAATGCTTTTTACCCAAGAAAAGACAGCAGATTACAGTGCCAAATTACGGTCACAACAAAAACAAAATATCAATGATTCAGTGTTGACCTAATTTCTGAATGTATGATAGTGTCAACTACTTATGTAAATACCACTCTGTACCTACATCAATTTTACTAGTGTGTCTAAGAGTCAGCATTTATTTGGTATAAATACCGCGCCGAAATCCATTACCGGCAGACTAAGGTTAGTGCAAAGTACCTCAAATGGGAAAAGCCCCTCTAGCTAAGTCTCCTCCCAGTGCAAACTACCTTTAATGGGAAACGCCCTTTTGGACCCGTCTCAAACCTAACTTCTTCTGGGAGCATTGAACGCAGCAATCTAGGTCCAGTGCAAACTACCTTTATTGGGAAACGTCCTTCTGGACCTGTCTCAAACTCAACGTCAGTCTTCAGTCAAGCCAAGTGTACAGAGTGTACATAATACAGAGTGGCCTATAAGTATTACGTCCACCTATTACTCCACCACACGTATTACTCCACCTACGCCTCCAAGTCACGCTCCTGTTGTGACGTCCCAGGACGAAACGTATAGGGGTTGTGACAATAGTAAAAAACATAATGAAAGTTAAAAAAATTGGCATTGCAAATTAGTTCACCAAAACACATCACATATTTCAAAGATTTTTTGAGAAAAATGAGCATAGAATACATAGACATAGACAAAGATTTTATCTGTGAACAGTACCTAGCCGGTAAAGAACACAAATCAAGTTTTAAAAACAGTCAGTCTCGAGCCAGAGAAACTTTGGAGTCGGTTCATGCGGATGTGTGTGGACCAATGGAAACTCCTTCACTAAGTGGTGCTCGTAACTTGGATGGTCTCGAACATCGCAGATCTGTGGGCGATTTATCTCTCTTCTACAGGTACTATCACGGAAAATGCTCTGAAGAGTTGGCGCGTATGATTCCACCGAGAGTAGCACCTACCAGGCGAACCCGTCAAACAGACGGTAACCATGAATTTACTGTCAAACTAGAGGTACCAAGAACCTCATTATATCAGAATTCATATCTCTGGAGAACAGCATCGCTGTGGAATAAACTCCCTGCGACGGTTTTCCCTGCAGGTTACAACCTGAACCGTTTCAAGACCAACATACACCGACATTTCCGCGCACTTTCCGCTTCTCGAGCGTGATAGGACATTTCCTTGCGAATGCGCATATCCGTAAAAAAAAAAAAAAAAAGATATTTCATACTCTTCACGGATGACTATTCCTCATACAGAAATATTTACTTTCGCTAAAACAAAAATCTGAAGTGCCAAATGTGATTGTTTATATTATTGGCTGAGAAGCAAACAGGTATGAGAATGAAGGTTCTAAGGACAATGGTCTGGAGTTTGTGAAGATTTTGCAAAACAAAGGTGTATATGCCGCCAACGTACAGTGACACCTGAACAGACTAAAACCATGATAAATAGCAATAAAAATTTAGGAAAGAGCTTTTGGGCAAAAGCAATAGTTTAGGAAAAAAGATTGAAAGGAGAACAAGGACTTTTTCTTGGATATGGAGACAATAAGACTTTAGGGTGTATATTCCTCAGAAGAACAAAGTTGAAACTCATAGAGACGTTATTTTCCTAACAGAGAAGACTCTAGAAGTGGAAAAAGATATTGGACATTGAAAAGGACTGTGAATCCGAGGCAGCAAATGTACAAAATGAAGAAAACACACACAACATATTGAATGAAAGTGACACACAGCCGCTTTCCAGCAAACCATTTTGAGCGCGCAATCGAGCTTTTGCGCGCGTAAATGCTTCAAGCGCATGTTCGTGTTCCAGCCGTACTGCGCTTCGAGAGTTGCTAACTTTTGCGTTTCAAACACAGAACACTGTGTTGCACCGTGCTTGAAGCACACAGCTGGAAAGCGGCTATAGTGATGAAAGTTCATTACCTGGATGATGATGAAATAGATTCAGATTTTAATGAAGAAATGGTGAATACGAGATATAACTTGAGAAGCAATATAAGAAACTCTAAATATGATGACTATGAAATGTACCTAAACTGCAAGTGATGACAATGATGAACCTATGTGCTATGAGGATACTATAGTATAGAGTATAGGCGAACAAGTGGAGAGAGGCAATGGAGGCAGAGATAGATGCGTTGGAAGAAAATGAAACATGGGTGATAGTGAGTGAAAGTGATGTAAAAAGAGCTGTCATTGAGTGTAAGTGGGTGTACAAAAACAAGAAAGATGAATTAGGTAAAGTAACGAAGTACAACGCCAGATTGGTAGCGAAAGGTTTTCAGCAAACTGGATTTGCATAATGCTGATATTTATAGTCCTTGTAGCAAAATTGCACTCTGTGAGAATTTTCTTACCTATTTGCAATAATTTCAACTTCAAAGTACATATACATCAACTTGATGCTTGATGTGTGCAGTGCTTTCTTAAATGGTGATATAGATGATGATGTTTACATTATTTTACCGAAAGGCTTTAATGAAAAAGAAGGTAAAGGACCCTGCCCAAACGGAAATTGTGCTCATGTCAGAATTGGCAGAATCTTGTATATAATGTATATCACGCCTTTCTGATTAAAAGTTACCATTGCACCAATCCTGAAAAATTACTATACATAGCACACCACTGCGCCACAAGCTTACCTATTTGTGTTACATTGTATCTACTTGAAGAATAACTTATTAAATAAAGTCAGAATTTGTAAAATTATCCACTTTTTGTCAATTTGCCTTTCAACGGGAATTAGTAATGTTACTTTACCAAACTGGTAACATAATGTGACAAGTTATTCAAGTACAAATGAGTGGATTGTTGTGGAATTTATGGGTCGACCTCTGCGGGACGAGCGCAGCGAGTTCTGCAGTCATCTATTTATTAATACGTTATTCAAGAACGATACTAACCTGACTCACTCAAATGTCAGTTATTCTCATTAGTTCAAAAACTACAAGTTTCAGGTGAGTGTCTTATTTGAATAGTTCAACAGTATATTGGTGAGTAGGTCCACCCATAAGTTCCGCAATTATCCACTTATTTGGTACTTGAACAATAACTTATTATATAAAGTCAGAATTTGTAAGATTATCCACTTTTTGTCAACTTGCCTTTTAACAGGAATTATAGTAATGTTACTTTACCAAACTACTAATATATTGTGACAAGTTATTCAAGTACAAATGAATGGATTGTTGCGAAACTTATGGGTAGACCCAGCCATCTATTCACCAATATGCTGTTCAAGTACAATACTTACTTGATTCACTCAGTTGTGAATTTTTCTCATTAGTTCAAAAACTACACGTTTCAGGTGAGTGTCTTATTTGAACAGTTCAACAGTATATTGGTGAGTAAATGGCTGCGGAACTCGCTGCGCTCGTCCCGCAGAGGTCCACCCATAAGTTCCGCAATAATCTACCTATTTGTATGTACGTTCATTACAATGTCCAAGCGTTTTACTACCTATGAAATTAATTTTCTCAAAAAGGAATCATTTTTCAGGATTGGTGCAATGGCAACTTTTAATCAGGAAGGTGTGATCTACGTTATATACAAAATTCAGCCAATTCTAACATAAAGACAATCTCCGTATACTTTGGGCAGGGTCCTTTGCTAAACTAAGAAAATCCTTATATGGTTTACGATCCTCACCTAAAAGTTGATATAGAAAATTTAATAATTTGATGGTGTCTAATAATTTTGAAAGGTCACAAAATAAATACTGTATCCTAAAAGTCTGATGTTTTTGATAGGATTGCCCATTTACCATTAAATTGTCATCCGGGCCAGATAATGTACCTACCTCTGAGTATTTGTTAAGTAATCTAAGATTTAGCATTTCAAGACCACTATGGTTACTGTTCAATAAGTCACTGGTCGAAGGTGAGCTTCCTATCTTATGAGACAGACCTTTTGAATGCCTTGGAGAGTGGGTTTCAGGTGGACGCAATCTACACAGACTTTTCCAAGGCATTTGACAGGGTGAATCATAACCTACTTGTAGCCAAACTTCGAGCTATTGGTTTTGGTGAAAGAACTGTGGAATGGTTCCAGATTCCAGAGTATGCTGACAGAGAGAACTCAGAAGGTTAGGATCGGAAATTTCGAATCTGGTGGTATTAATGTAACCTCTGGAGTACAAATAACAGGGTAGCCACTGTGTCCCAATATTATTTAACTTGTTTCTCTGTGATATTGAAAATTATATTGAAACCCGTGACTATTTGCTCTATGCTGACGATCTCAAATTGTATAGAATTGTAGATAACGATAGTGACTCAAAATTACTTCAAGAGTCGTTAACATCATTTGCAAACTTGTCAGAACTTAATGGACTATCCCTAAATGCTTCTAAGTGCACTTCTATAAGCTTTTTTAAGCACAAAATTGGGGATCAAGAGTTGAATGTCATAAACTCAATCAAAGACCTAGGGATATATTTCGATTCTGAAATCACTTTTAGAGATCACATCAAGTATATAGTGGGTAAAGCATTCCAGATGTTGGTATTTTCAGAGTTGGTATAGGGATTTGTCCGTGAACTCACTCCATTTACTGTACTGCTCTCTTGTAAGATCTCATTTGGAATATGCTTCAGTTGTTTGGTCACCATTTTATAACATCTATAAGGACCAACTTGAGAGAGTTCAACGCAAGTTTATAAAATACTGTGCCTATAAACTTGATATGACAGATAGACTAGAAGATGTCCAACTTCATCTTTGTCTTCCATCACTTGAAAACAAAAGAGCATTTTCCGACTTGTACTTCATTTATAAACTGATTAACGGTTACATAGACTGTCCGTATCTTCTCAGTAAAGTCTTTGTGAAAGTACCATGCCGACCTCTTAGAAGAAGTGAGGTTTTTTATGTAACTGTCCATAGAACCGTTAATATAGAACTAATTATGGGCGTCATTCTCCTCTCGCCCGTGGTTTTGCTCTATTAAATGCTCACCCTGCGATGTCGATTTAAATATGACCCGATACCAAAATTTTTCGAAGATACTTGAACATCTTCGGAAATCTTTGTTACTATCTTTTGTTACCAACTTTACACCGGTGATCTAATGAGAATGAAGTTCATGAAATCAAAAATATTTTAGGTATGTTTATTACACAAAATTTATAAGAAAATAAAATTATCATCAATCAAATTTTATATCTCAAAAATGTGTTAAAATCTTTTGAAATGGAAAATTGCAAAGCTTGTAATACTCCTATGGAAATAAATTTTAGGCATGATGAACTTAAACGTGAAAAATTTGAAAATAGTGAAATTGAAAACATATGCAGAAAGGCAATTATTGGGTCTCTAATGTACGCTATGTTATGCTCACGACCAAATTTATGTATAACAATAAGTATTTTAAGTAGATACCAATCTTGTGCTAGTTTACAGATTTGGCAAGCAATTAAAAGAGTTTTCAGGTAAGTATAAGTATATCTACAGAAAACCAAAAATGTTAGTTTAGTTTTCGAAAAAATATAATATAATCTAATTGAAGGTTATGCTGGGCTGGAGACAGAACTGAAAGAAAATCTACTTCAGGTTACATATTTAAGATTTTTGGTTACACAGTTAGTTGGTGATCTAAAAAACAAGATTCTGTGGCTCTGTCATCCACCAAGGCAAAGTAGATAATACCATTAAGTTTGGCTATAAGTGAAGCCTGTTGGCTTTAGAAATTTGATTCTAAAATTGAATATTGTTGATAAGATTTTAATTTTCAGTGTTATTACATACTTATGAGGACAATCAAGATCTGTAAGAACCAGAGTTCCACAAAAGACTGAAACACATTGATATTAGTTTTATTTTATTCGGGATAAAGTCAATGATAAAATAGTTTTTGATTAAAATATATTTCAATAAAACTGCAGATTGCAGATTTTTCCACGAAACCTTTATCACAGACTTCATTCAAAAATTTTGTTGTTAAGTATGTGATTTATTTTAAAGAATATTTTTTTTTTTTTGGTTTTGGGAAATTTACCATTGAGGGGGAGTGTTATTATACTACTATTGCCACATATATTAAAATAATTTGTAATGCAAAACACCTCATAGGTACCTAATAGTTATGAATTATTTTGGAATAGGATCTACTGATGCAATAGTACCTACTGAGTAGAGTACCTACAAAAAATCAACTGAAACTGCCAGTAAAATGAATTTTCAATATTCAGTTTCCAGTTTACCTTATAACTTGCATAAGAATATTCAGGACCATATGCGGGTAAAAGTATTTGTTTTAAAACTTTCTTGTCCATGTCGACTTTCAAAAACTCTTGCGGAGACACTCTTGTTTCATTTTCGTCGACATCAACTACAAATATTACAATTATTTAATTGTAATAAGACAAACAAAAAAAAAATTACCAATTACTAAAGTAGCTGCTACAGTTTCTAGAATTAAAAATACATCCGAAGGAAATTCGTTGTGATGGTGCTTGATCATCAAATTGCCTGCAATAGTGCCAATCTAGAAAAACAAACATTTGAGTTTCAGTTAGCAAGTTTAAGCACCAACTCGTACATTTCTGACTGGTACATGAGCAACCAAATCCAAATGATCAGCCATTTTATCTAAATAAATAAATTTGCTATTTTTTCGGGCAATTTTTCTAAACAGGCTCATTGTGTCATTTAAACTCATATTTGCGCCTAGTATCAAACTACTATCCAGTGCAGTATAAGTAGTCAGCTCTTTTACTGCTGTAACGTCGATGTAAAGTTCCGGAGTGGTACTTGGAGTGAGCCAATACACACCTTAAAATAATCAAAAAATAGTGTGATGATAAATGTAATCAAAATTCAACCTCTTGCAGTGTTTCCTGCTACAAGCATGTAGCGCCTATTTCCGGTTGTTCTCAAAATTTCCAATAAGTCAACCAATTTATAAACTTTCATCCATTTGTTAGGCTCCAAATCAAAATAAACTGGAGTTTTTTTGCAAGGTTGCCGACATTTACTTTCACATTTTGCTTTAGAGCACAACCCAACATCTTCAATATCATCTACAAACAAAAACAATTTATACTGATTGGACAATTTGTGAATTTGGTACCAGAATCTGAGGCAAGTTTTTTGAAAGCAGTCAATATTGGCCGATAACCAGTGCAACGGCACAAATTACCCCCAAAAGCATCTTCAATTTCAACTTCGGTTTTCGGTCCAGATTCGTGCAAAGCATACATGCTCATCACCATGCCAGAAGAACAAAATCCGCACTGGGTGCCGTTATTGTCGGCCAAAAGCTTCTGAATGGCGTGATAGCCGATTAACGGATTTCCGATGCCTTCGTTGGTTAAGATTTTCCAGCCGTGGCATGAGAAAATTGAGACCAAACACTGAAACAATGATTATCAGAAGACGAATTATTAAAAAACAACTATTACTGAATTGACTGCGAAGACTTTTTTGGTACCATCTGCTTCTAGTGCTTCTACTGCCACGATGCAAGTACCACAACCGCCTTCCAGGCACATTTTTTTCGTAGCTGTAAGTTGAAGTTTGTCTCTGAGGTAACTATTCAGGGTGGTTTCAGGGGTAACGTCGCTAGAATTAACTTTAAAAAAATTGTTAAATATATACAAAAATTACCTTTTACACGTACCTGCATGTTGAGTTTCACCCAAATAAAACTTGATTTCCGATTCCCTATAAAAGGCAATTAATTAGTTATTTGAAAGTAATTTACGTTTTAACTTACAGTTTCATCATTTTCTAGTTTAAAACAATAATCTTTAAAGAAACTGCAGTAGTACTTATAAATAAGTAAATTGCAGCAATTGAAGATGCAGAGACGGGTTTAAAATATTTTGTTTATAATAATCCAATGTTTTATACTAAAATAAATCTATTCGGTACTTCTCTGAACTATTTACAATAACAAAACACTGTTTTATTGATTGGAATTAGGCTTAGCAACTGATAGGTATTTGTTAATGTTATTTAATTTGTTGTGCTGATAAACCGGTTAGAAACAAAACGATGATTTAAATTTTTATTTTTGAAGCATTTCTTATTAAAATGTAGCTTTTATTTTTTGAGAATTGAAATTCAGATCTTCTTAGATTCTATTTTGAGTTTCAAAAGTATTTTTGCTGTAAAAACAAAAGGAATCACGAACAAGTATTTTCGAGTTGTTCACAGCTAATCTAGAAGTTGAAAAATGTCTCAAAAACATTCACACTGTCTTATAACTAACGTGAATTGTTCATTACAGGTGGAATCTTAAAACGATATTTCCAGAAACTAAAAATGTTTCAAAAGCTTTTTGAAAGTACCTACTACTTTCAAGTTGCTCATGAGAATTTTCACTAGTGGTCTAGGAAAACTCTGCCATCAAAAACATCTTAAAGTCAGTTTTGAAAGAGTAGTACCCATTTATTGCTAATAATTTTATCTATATCATTCGTCAATGTCAACTATGAACAGCTTGGAAGTACTTTCCAATAGCTCTTGAAACATTAATCAGCTTCTGGAAATGTAATTTTAAAACTCCACAACCAGGTATAAGATAGAATGTTTAATAACTTCAGAATACTATGAACTGCGTGGAAATATCTACTTTAAATAGCTTTTGAGACATTTTTTAGCTCCTACATTATACTGTTAGCTGTGGACAACTCGAAAATACTTTTTGTTCATTGTTCATTGATTTTGTTTCTACAGCCTACAGCTCAAAAATGCTCTCGAATTGCTCATCTTACTGCTCACTAAAAGTCTTTTTTGCTGCATTGCAATGAAAAATATTGCAAAAATAAGAGTTTAAATAATCGTTTTGTTTCTAACCGGTTTTCAGCATAACAAATTAAATAACATCATCAAAGATCAGTTAATTGGTCTATTTACCTGACCTTTCCTTTCACGGTGCTAATTGCAATCAATAAAACAGTGCCTTGTTATTGTAAATAATTCAGAGCAGTACCCAATACATTTATTTTAGTATGCAACATTAGATTATTACAATAGAATATTTCAAAACCGTCTCTGACTTGCTTCTTCAATCGCTGCAATCTACTTATTTATATTGCAAGATTATTGTTTTAAACTAGAAAATGATGAAACTGTAAGGTAAAACCTAAATTACTATCAAATAACTAATTAATTGCCTTTCAGGGAATCGCAAATCAAGTTTCATTTGGGTGAAACTCAACATGCAGGTGAGCGTGAAAGGTAATTTATATATTTAAAACTTTTTTGAAGTTAATTCTAGCGATGTCACCCCTGAAACCACCCTGACTAGTTACCTCAGAGATAAACTTCAACTTACAGCTACGAAAAAAATGTGCCTCGAAGGCGGTTGTGGTAGTTGCATCGTGGCAGTAGAAACACTAGAAGTAGATGGCACCAAAAAAGTCTTTGCAGTCAATTCAGTAATAATTGTTTTTTAATAATTCGTCTTCTGATAATCATTGTTTCAGTGTTTGGTCTCAATTTTCTCCTGCCACGGCTGGAAAATCTTAACCAACGAAGGCATCGGGAATCCAGTAATCGGATACCACGCCATCCAGAAGCTTCTGGCCGACAATAACGGCACTCAGTGCGGATTTTGTTCTTCTGGCATGGTGATGAACATGTACGCCTTGCACGAGTCCGGGCCGAAAACTCAACTTGAAATTGAAGACTCTTTTGGAGGAAATTTGTGTCGTTGCACCGGTTATCGGCCAATATTGACTGCTTTTAAAAAACTTGCTTCAGATTCTGGTACCAAATCCATAAAATTGTTTAATAAATATAAATTGCAAATTTGTTTGTAGACGATATTGAAGATGTTGGGTTGTGCTCTAAAGCAAAATGCGAAAGCATATGCCAGCAAACTTGCAAAAAAACTCCAGTTTATTTCGATTTGGAGCCTACCAAATGGATGAAGGTTTATAAATTGGTTGACTTATTGGAAATATTGAGAACAACTGGAAATAGGCGCTACATGCTTGTAGCAGGAAACACTGCAAGAGGTTGAATTTTGATTACACCTATCATTACATTATTTTTTGATTAATTTAAGGTGTATATTGGCTCACTCCAAGTACCACTCCGGAACTTTACATCGACGTTACAGCAGTAAAAGAGTTGACTACTTATACTGCACTGAATAGTAGTTTGATACTAGGCGGAAATATGAGTCTAAATGACACAATGAGCCTGTTTAGAAAAATTGCCCGAAAGAACAGCAAATTTGTTTATTTGGATAAAATGGCTGATCATTTGGATTTGGTTGCTCATGTACCAGTCAGAAATGTATAAGTTGCTGTTTGAATTTGCTGATTGATACTAAATTATTTGCTTTTCTAGATTGGCACACTTGCAGGCAATTTGATGATCAAGCACCATCACAACGAGTTTCCTTCGGATGTGTTTTTGATTCTAGAAACTGCAGCAGCTACTTTAGTAATTGGTAATTTTTGTGTATGTCTTATTACAATTAAATACTTGTAATATTTGTAGTTGATGTTGACGAAAATGAAACAAGAGTGTCTCCGCAAGAGTTTTTGAAAGTCGACATGGACAAAAAAGTTCTTAAACAAATACTTTTACCCGCATATGGTCCTGAATATTCTTATGGAAGTTATAAGGTAAACTGTAGACTAAATATTGGAACAGTATTTCACTGTCAGTTAATTTTTTGTAGTCTATTCAGTACTATAGCATCAGTGAATCTTTTCCAAAATAAATCATAACGATTACCTATTGCATTACAAATATTAGGTGATCTAATTGCTTAAATCTCTTCAGCTTTTTACTCAAGGAAAACCATTTTCACTTCACAGTATCTACACAAGATAATTATACGTAATCCAGATATTAAAGTACTATTGTAAACAAGTTTTGTGAAAAAACTATAAAATTTACCGCAGTGACATATGGCCATCTTACCCCTGGTGCTATGGGGGAGATGGCCATCCCAATAAAGGAGAAATGGCCAGCCGAGAAAATAATGTTTTATTGATGTATGTTCTTCTAAAACTGAACAAATGCTCAACAAAACACTTAGGGCTAAATTATGGACCAACTGGTAAAGGTTCAAGGGTGCGATTTTCGAAACCATTCGAGTACATTTCGTACACGAAATTTGACTGACAGCAATATAAATTAAATGGAGAGCATTCGAAATTGTATGAAATTTCGTATACGAAAACATTCGAAAATACGACCCCTGCTGGTTTTACCAAGCAGGTGAATTCTATACTTTGGGAATAGAATTTACCTGCTTAGTAATAATCAGGACCATAACCAGTTGGTCCATAATTTGGCCTCCTTTCATTTATTTTCGTACAAACACCGTAGTTTAAATTAACAATAATCTTCGAACTAACAAATAAAATCAAGTTTATGTAGTTAAATTTGTAGAAACAAAATAATAGTTTTCTTAAACATAAAAAATACATAAAGGTATGTAAATACTATAAATGGTTCATGATAAGTAAGTGAAATGATAATAATATCATTTGTTCTTGAGACACAACTTGCCACATTTCTGACATAAATCTATAAATGTGGTGCAGGATTCATGCAACCAGAACTTGCACCTCACATATTGAATCCAGTCTTCTTTCTTTTTTGTTTTGAAGTAGTCTTCTCCACAGCCGACACTTTCGTTTTTTCAAAATCTTCATCTGGATCAGAATCACTACTCGTAAATATATTTTTTTTTTTCACTTTCACTGCTGGACGAACTGGTAGACCTACGTTTCTTTACCAGTTTTAATTTTTTGACAGCTTGAACTTTAGTAAGTTTTGTTGTAGCTTTTTTAATTTTCAATTTTTCGATAAAATCAGGAGAGGTTATTTCAGCTGCAACCTTCTTTGCTCTTTTTCTCACACCTTGAACCAGTTTGGGAGCTGGTGCAAACTGAAAAACCGTTTTTGTAAATGATGATTCAGACTCCAGAACTGATGTTAACTGATTTGGAATATCGGTTTGCTGATGTACTGGGTTGAGGACTCCTAGCTACTTGTTTTCTTGGTTCGATAGCATTACCATTATCGGCTTGCACATGGTTTTCTTGATCTGTAATCGAAAATGCGTATTGCCGGTATCGCACTGGGATTAAACGGGAATATTCCTATAGCCTTAAACCCAGCTATTGCATTTTCAGGAGTTGCCGCTTTCCTCCAGGTCTTTTGAAGCAGTTCTCCAAACTGATATCTAGCTAATTTATGACCAGGATGATTTTTGCACCATAAGTGACACTCGGCATAGTAATAATTTTTGAGTGACTTAAACACAGAACGGTCCAAGGGTTGTAGGTAGTGTGTGGTATGACTTGGTAACACAAATAAAATGATGTCATTTTCTCTAGCAACCTCAATCATTTCGACACTGCTTGAATAAGAAGCATGCCCCATCAAGAATAAGGATAACTTTACCTTCCGGTTTCCTGGGAATAAAGTGCTCCTTGAGCCACTGGATAAAAATTGTGGTATTTATATAGGCGGATTTCTCAGACATATAAAGTATTGATCCTGGTGGCATATTATCCATGTATTCCAGTTTTTTTTATTTTTCCTTTCATGGTGCACGCAGGTGGCATGAAAACCCCCTCTGCGTTACAACAGGCTACCACAGTGATGGTTTCTCCTCGTTCCGCTGACACTATGCTGGATAAATTCCGTGAACCTCTTTGTGTCAGAACCTCTCCTGGACGCTGGTTCAGTTGCAGGCCAGACTCGTCCATATTAAATACGTGACTTGATTCTGCAAACAATTTTCAAGTAAATCGAAATAAATTCCGATTCATCGCTTGCGCCCTATGAATCGAAACACCCTCAGATTTGCGTAATGAAAGATCACGATTTCTGTCAAGAAAAAGTTTCAGCCAGTCGTATCCAGCTTTTTCGTGATCCCGGTTAAAAGTATGTTGAACACCAATCTCATTGGCAAAGTGTTACGCGATACTTCTGACCTCATCTCGGGCTAAGGGAAATCCCATATTTTGCATCTCTTTAATATGGCGCACTAATCTTCTCTCATTTTCCGGACCAAGTTGGCTTTGGGGTTCCAATGAACCTTTGACACATTTGTTTTCTTTAATTCGCTGTTCCAATGTTTTGCTATGGATATATTATATGTCTCTGAAGCGTTTTTCACTAAACTTCCATTACGAACAGCAGCTATGGCGCTTGTAAGAGATTCCTGAGTCCACTAATCTCGGGAAACAACTTGTTTTCTAAGGTATTTATTCGACATCTGAAATTATAATACGAAAAAGTTAACTATATAAGTCCTATACTTAAATGATATTTAAAAAAAAAAAAACAATTAAGTACCATATATAAACAATAGGGAACATGTGTATTCTATATAA